TCTATAAGACTCACTTTTTCCGTCCTAAAAAGTAAGGGGAAATGTGTGTGCGTCTTATGGAGTGAATGCAGGCTGCACAGCTATCCCAGAAGCCAGAACAGCAAGAGGGATTGCTGCTTTCACTGTGCAGCGATCCCTCTTGCTGTTCTGGCTTCTGAGATTCAGAATATTTTTTTTCTTGTTTCCTCCTCCAAAAACTAGGTGTGTCTTGTGGTCTGGTGCGTCTTATAGAGCGAAAAATATGGTAGTTGGCACTGCCTGTTATTGGCTCTGGCTCTGCCTACTGTTGGGCCTCCCTTCCTTCTGCCCTGCCAGCCCCAATGGGTATCTGCCACTGCTGTCTCAGTGAGTTAGCAGAGAAGAATTTGAGGGGTTACTGATCTGTGGGATACATTTGCCAGGAGTACCTTCACAGGCGTGAAATGGATTTGGATTCAGTAACTGGCATTCCCTGGGTCAAATCTGCCCTCTTCCCAAGTGCCAATCCACTGAAAACAATTTGCTGCTGCTCCTCATTTCCATTGATATAAAATGGACAGTGCTCTGGTTAGAAGAGTGCTGTTCAACCTTGAGTCCCCAGGTGATGTAGGACTGCCCCTCTCATCGCCCCCAGCCAACTTAACCAATGACATCTAGGGACCCAAGGCTGAATAATGCTGGCTTGTTCTGCATGTCTGTCTTTGTGGGTAGGTACAACCATCCAGTCAGCACTCAGAAGAACTCGTAGTGCCTGGAACAAGAATTGCATTCTGAAATTGCTGTCCAAAGGAGTGGAAGGAAGAAGACGACAAATTTTTGGTGACCTTGCAACACTGCTGAAACAATGGCTCTCTCTCACGCACACATGCACAGAAAGACAGCATGGGGAAAAGCAAAGTTTAGACAATGAAATGTCTAGCTCTTCCAAACAGACAGACACAGTCTAAGCTGGGCTATCTTTGAGTTGCAAGCAGAAAATCAAAATCCACCCCCTAGTGGTTAAAATAAAAGCAATATACTAAACTGACCTTCCCCCACCAGATATTTTTGACTACAACTCCCATCAACCCCACCCACTTTCCTGTACCAATGGTTGTGTAGTGCTGTGTCTCTCCGTCGCCTTTAGCCCTTTCTGCAAAAGCTCACTGCGAACATCTGCCCCATCTTTCCCTGCCAATTGTGTGTTGCAACTGGGAGCATCTGAATCGGCAAAGGCAGCTTGAGTAGAAACATCATCTTTATCACAAACATTCTACCCAGCCTGGACAATTTTACTGCTTGCAAGGGTTGCAAGTAGCGACAGACCCCAAAACAGGCACCAAAAAACGGCTCTGCTATAGAACATGTGTTCCATACAGGAGAAGTCTGTGCTGCAAGTGATGTCTGTTTGTGTGGTATCTTCCCAAGAACCATCGAAAACTTGGAACGAAGTATGAGAGAGCCATTCCGGGGTTACCAACTTTCAGATCAGACTTTGCAGTTATGCCTTTATATGTTTTGTAACAGTGGTGCCTCGCAAGACGAAATTAATTCGTTCCATGAGTTTTCTCGTCTAGCGAATTTTTCGTCTTGTGAAGCACGAAATCCCATAGGAATGCATTGAAATTCAATTAATGCGTTCCTATGGTAAAAAAAAGTCCAAACAAAGCCAAATTTGGTACAACAAGAGTTTATTAAGTGCTCTTTAAAGTCACACATACTGTAAAGAGCATTTCAAAAATTGAAGGAACAATAAATTAAGTTTCTAAACATGACAGAAAAACATTTAAAAATCAACAAAGTGTACAGTACATTTTCTAAGACTCTGGGGACAACTCGAAGAAGGTTCCTCTTCCACTCTTTGCTTCTTGCTGAAGAACCCCCTCCTCAACTGTTCCCCCAGCCACCCACCACACAGAAATTCAAATCCAGAATTTTTTTAAAAAAACAGCAGAGTGGCCCAATGGTCACAGAAAATCATAAAAATGCAGAAAAACACAAACACAAGCTTCCAGATTCTTGCAAACCCCTCCCCAACACCAAGTCCTTGAATTCCAAACACCCCAACCCAAAATCCAAACCCCCCCAAAAAAGTTTAAAAGTTTAAAAGAAGTTTTGGGAAAGCTTCAAAAATCACCAAAGTCTTCAAAAACCTCAAAAAAAGGCTACCACACCGCATTCTATGAGTTGCTCCTCGAAGTCAAGTCGCAACTGTATTAACGGTGTTAAGAAAAGGAAACAAACTTGCAAGACGTTTTCGTTTTCGTCTTGCGAAGCAAGCCCATAGGGAAATTCGTCTTGCGAAGCAGCTCAAAAAACGCAAAACCCTTTCGTCTAGCGAGTTTTTTGTCTTGCGAGGCATTCGTCTTGCGGGGCACCACTGTATTTACATTTGCTGGTGGCCTCATAACATAGTCCTGTTGCAAAAATTTAGCAGTACTTAAGCACAAATTGTTCCAGAGAATCTAGTTGCAGGAATGGAGAAATACAGTGTACATTAAAAAATGTAATCATGCTCCTATCCTGTACTGGTGCTTTGAGCAAGTCTGCTTGAATGATGGGTGAAAGGGAGGCAGGTTCTCCCACACATTTGTGTCACAGCACAGAAATAGCGAGCATTCCCAGGTTTTCGACTGGCTCTGCTTTAGTGCCTTTGCCCACATCCTGACACTCAGAAATTCAGAAGGTGACTCTTTTCTTATGAGTTCTTTTTCATGTCAGGAAAAGTTCCACATGCTAAGTTTCTACGGACTAGGCTGCCCTTAAAGAGACAGCAGAACTATTGGTGGCAGACAGGGGAAGTTGGAAACTCTAGAAATAACTCCAGCAAATCCTCTACAACTGTTCCTGAAGACACTGCATCCTCCATCTCCTGGAAAGACATTTGGGGTCCCATTGCTAGAAATCGGTTGCCCCCTACTGGTAATTTGTCAAATCACCCAGTGGACGTGAGTGTAAGTTGAGTGGTTGAGGTGCATAACTGGTCATTGTGCACATTCACCAGGCCTTGTGGAGAATGTGCACACAATCCTTCATTGAACAGGGAATTGTGCAGAAATGTACATCCCCCAAGGCCTGTTGGCTGTTGGAGATTATGCATATTGGCCAGGGAATGTATAAAAGTTAACTGATTTATGCATAATTCCAAAGGCCTGTTGGAGATTATGTGTATTGACCGGGAAATATGCACAATAGCTGGTTGTTATGCACATTACTGCTCAACTTACATTCTTCTTTTTACAGATATAAAATATATGATATGTACAGGATGATATCTACTGAATGTTGTGCAGTCCTTACGAGAGAAAGGCTGCCCTTTTCTGAAGCTGTGTTAATTTTCCTTTCCAGAGCTAATTTACTTTCCCAGCCTGCCACTATAATAGCAGCTAAGACTGTGTCTGCATGCTTGGCCCAGGCGTTAAAAGACTCACATCCTAATAAGCTTGGTACACTTATTCACCCATCCCCCACTGCTTTCCCTGCAGATGAATTTGAACATGTGTCAAAAGAAATGAATGCTCACATTTGATGTGGGAATCTGATAAGCTGCAGAGCACTCTTCGATATGTGCTTGTTAATTGGTAGGCTATTTAGCCTGATGCCCAGCTCATGATCAAGGTCACTTGATGCATATTACAAATTAGCCCTTGAACACTGTTTATCCCTGCTGTCATGCTGACCACCAGTGGGGCTAAAGGGAGTTTTTAAAAGGCCAATCCCCACCTGCATATTTCAGCATCTTATTGAGTGTGCACAACACCAGCTTAAAATGCAGCTTAGCTTGCTAAACTGACTCAGAGAGGGCCTGTTCTTTTAAGACTCTATGCCACATAAAAATCTTGCTCTGGGACAGAGGTTTCCCAACCCTGGGTCTCCAGCTGTTTTTGGACTACAATTCCCATCATCCCTGACCACTGGTACTGCTAGCTAGGGATGATGGGAGTTGTAGTCCAACAACTGGAAGAGCACCAAGTTTGGGAAACCCTGCTCTGGGACTTTTCCTGCCATCATGGAAACAGGTGATACCTATAGCAGAGATGGGAAACAGCTAGATGATGTTAGGAGTCTAGCTTCCATCATACCCAACCAGCAGAGCTATCGGTCAGGGGTCATGGGAGTTGTAGTCCACCCACATCTGGAGGGCTCTGTGTTGTAGTCCACCCACATCTGGAGGGCTCACCCCCCACAGATATGCAACTCTTATGTGACCTTTTTTTCTCAAGCTGTTTTGCATCTATGCCAATTCAGGCGGGGAGGGGGGCGATTTTTGGCACTTAAAAGCACTCACACAGGTAGGTCAATTGACCTCAGGTTTCGTTAGTCCAATAAAAAAGTTCGCCATCATAGCCATTTCGCGACTTCCAGCGAGGCTGCAATGCAATTGCATTGATGACCCTGCCTCCCGAGTAAACATGGCCAGGATCCGGAGCACGGAACAATGCGGTGGATTATCAAACTGCGGTTTATCAGTGTTCAGATTTTTACTTTGATTGCGTGCGTGGAGGGAAGGGAACGTGCAGACGTGGCGATCCAAGTAACGTCTGAATAGCGCTGAGTAGCGCGTTGGTAGTGCGTGTAGCGGTCGCAATGTCGCATTTAAATAGCCTGGAACACCTGCCTGTATAGTGGCCGTGTGAATCGGCGCCCCTGTGCGCACCAAACTCTGCAATGAAAGCGCTGCCAAGTGGCGTTCCGAGTCCAAGAATGCGTGTTAGTGAGGTCATGTGAAAGCTTGCCCAGAAAGTAAGGCGTGGCCCGATATGTATGTTGCTTTTCTTCAATGCATTTATTTATTATGACATTTACATCCCCACTATTCCTCCAAGGAATTCACGATGACATATGTCGTTCTGTCCCGATCCATCGTTCATCACAACAACCCTGCGATGTAAGTTAGGCTGAGAAGCGGTGATAGGCCCAAGATCATCCAAGTAATCTTCGTGGAGATTTCATAGAATAATAGAATTGTAAAGTTGGAAGGGACCTTAAGGGTAATCAAGTCCACCCCCCTGCAATTTGATCCCGGACTTCCCAGCGTTGCTATGCGCGCACGCGCACACCAACCCACGAGGATACACCACCGTGTCGTTACCGAGGGTGGGCAAAGACTGCAGGAGTGGGAGAAAGCAAAGAAAAAGGACGATCGTGGGGTGAGTGGGTGGGGGGCTGCCAGAAAAAAACGTGGTTAAGGGGGCGGGGCTTGTGTGCCCGACAGAGAGGAGCGTCCACGCATTCCTCAGAGTCACTTTTTAGAAACACGCATAAAAAAACGAGGGGAAGAGAAATCGACGACTGCCATGAACGGTCTTCGGCACGGATCTCATTTACTACACGCGTGTCCGCGCGCGTCAAGCAGCCCCACGCCCGGATCTGCCGCGTGCGCCATCCACACGCAACTGCGAGGCGCGCTAGCTGTGCGCACACGCCAACACGACGGCAGCCTGCCAGCCTCCCTTTCCCTCCTCCGGCCTTTCCCTCCGGCTGCTGACCCCCGGCCGGCCCTGCCGAGCTCCGCGCCCCGCCCAGGCCCCGCCGGCCCCCGCGGCGCCTCCCACACCCACCCGGGTTCGCGCCGTACGAAGCTGCTTTCCGACGCTCGGCAAGGGAAGCGCGCCAAGGTCGGGACCACCGATCGGGCCCGGAACCGCGTGGCAAGCAGCGAGGACGGGTAGGAAGAGGTGGGGGCGACAGAAAGCAACCGGTGTTTGTCTGCGTCTCTGAACTTCTCGGAAAGCGCTTTGCCAAGTAAGTTCAAGGCAACGGTCTGCTGTTGTGGGTTGATTTCGAGGTGGGTGCGATCCGGAGTTAGCAGAGACGTCAGAATCTGGATAAGGGGCACGAAATCGCCTCCTTTTGGAGGTCGGGTTTCTTTTTGTGCGTGACTTTGCTTCCTGAAAAGTGCTAATACTGGTGGTCACCCGTCATTAGTGGACTATTAAATCTAAGTTGGGAGCTATTAGCAGGTTTTTGGAGGGCAGGATACTCTCCATGGCCCCACTCCTCTTAGTGAGTCTTCCCCCTCGCTGTGGCAGGTTTAGGGGGCTCTTGTTAGTGTGCTAGGGTCTGGGGTGGGGTGGGGGTTTCTGACCTTTTCCAACTTAAGAAGGGAGGAAGCGGACCAGCTGTCCCTTTAGTTCTGTATTGCCCACACTGATTGACAGCTGTTTCTCCAGGGTTTCAATCCGGAGAATTCCCCAGCCCCTAACTTGCAGAAGCCAAGGATTGGACCTGGAACCTTCTGCACTCAAAGCAGATGTTCTACAGCTGAGCCAGGACTCTCCCCCTTGACGTTTCTGCCCCTGGTTATTGGGATCCTTTACCTCCTTGTGTGCGTGCCTCTCGGTGCTCAGTTGACGGGGCAAATAAACAGTTTTCCTTCCCCAAGCCCCATGAAACAGCTGCATAATGTGGAAGAGCGTGTGCCTGGGTTTCTCTGCATTAGTTGTGGTCTCTGAAAATTTAACAGCGTATGAAGGAGGCCTTTCTCCTGCAAAGGTCATCGGGGTGATCTTGAAATCTGTGGGAAAGACCCGATATTTTGGAATACCGTAATCCCAGGAGTTTGGGAGGATAACTCCGAAGAGCCACATGACTCTTATTAGAAAAGCTTCTGTGTCTTCCCCAGTGGTGCAAATGGGCACAAGTTCAACAGGGGAAACCTCTCCCTCCCCCCACATCACGTTATTGGCAGGGAAGGCTTCTCCTGTTGAATTTTTGCGTGCCGCTCAATTTGAAAAAGAGACAGGAGCCTAGGTGCTGGCGGTGGAGGTGGCTGGCAGGCAACCCAAAGTGGGAAAGGCTTGGAAGTATTTCCAGAGGAAGGTGGTTGAATGGGAGGCTTGTGTTAGGTGAGCATGGCAAGTGACCCGATCGACTCATGTTGACTCGAAATATTTGCTTGGCTTTAAGGGACAAAGAATGGCCCATTTCTTTGACTGCCTTCAGCAACATTCCTAAGGGAAACGCTCTGGGCTTGCGAGAATGCTGTGTTAGTGTTTTGCAAATTACAGAATTTCTTCATGGAACTTGGTGTGCTGAGATGGCCCGGAAGGGGGCGTTAGGCAAATGGATGGAGGGTGTGTCTTATGAAGGGCTACATGCAAACTGCCAGGGCAAAGGCAGCCTGCCTCTTGAGGACCAGTTGCTGGGGAAAGGGCTAATGCTGTCGTGTCTGGCTGGCCACTGGGGGAAAGGCAGGAAGTTGCCTTCTTATACATGTAGCTGACACCCAGGAGGAGTTTTTTTCCAGCCTTACCTGGAGATGCCAGGGATTGACCCTGAGACCTTTTGCGGGCAAAGGAGCTGCTCAACTGCTGAAGTACAGCCTTTCCAGGATGCTCTGCAAACTAATCCTACAAGGGCTCTTCTTATGTGCTCTGTGGATGCCTGGTGGTTCTCATTTCTACCAGCCTGTTTGTTACACTCGGGAATGATTGCTGTCCAAATAATCTGGAGAGCACCATAATAGCATAAGTCGTCTTCTTTGGCGATCACTTGTAGCCGAGTAAGATTGTCTTCCATAAACACGGTTTTAACAATGAGTCCGTAAGTGACTGTGGAGGCCAATTCTGGATCCACACGTCCTTCCACAGTGGGGACATTGGTTTCCAGGTGGGAGTTGATCACAGTGTGGATTTGCCAAGCGTGCCTTCCTCTTAGCACATTTCTCCCTTGCGTTCTGAGTTTGAGTGTCTTCAAAGCCCATGACCCCTTTGCTAAAGGCTGTTCTCCAGCGCGAGCGTTCGCAGGCCAGTGTTTCCCAGTTGTCGGTGTTTATACTACATTTGTTTAGATTTGCCTTGAGATTTGCCTTTAAACCCCTTTTGTTGACCACCAGCATTACGCTTTCCATTTTTAAGTTGGGAATAGAGTAGTTGCTTTGGAAGACGATAATCAGGATTCCGCACAATGTAAGTAGAACCTGCAGGATCAGGCCAATGGCCCTGAAAACCCCAGCTTCTTGTTCATATGGTTGGCCAACCAGATGCCTCTGAGAAGCCTGCGCCGGCGGTGGAAGTTGGTGAAGGTGATGCTGAGCCAGATGGATCAAGGCACTGGCTCCACATAGAACACGTTCCCCTTCTTTGGCTTTTCCATCTGTAGAAGGGGAACAATAGTAACTTACTTTTTAGGGTTTTTTTTGTTGTGAGTGAAATCCAGAGAATTTCCTAGTTTCCTAATCTCTGCAGGTGGGAACAAGAAAACTCTTGGTCTCTTAAATTACTTTAACATACAAGACCAACATGGTGCAGACGGTGTAATTAATTCCCCCTTTCCTACTAGCTCTTCCTTCTACATTAAGCATATTCTTCTTCACCAGAGGTGAGGGGGCGTGAACTAACTGAGTCTAGGAATACAATTCTGTTGTTTTAACTCCTTCATGCATTAATTAGCCCTAAGCTTGCTAGTTATATTTGACTGCAATTTCCCACAGTTGTTGTTAGCTATTTATTTATTTATATACCGCTGAGTTGCCAAAAGGGCTTCCACTTTATTTACAAGTATAAACGGTAACAAATATATCCAGACGTGTTTAAAATGCACAATAATGCAATTTCCTCCAAAAGTTGAAGACATTCATTATTAAAAATGTAAGACAAGTTCATCAAAACATTATAACTATTAAAACAGTTTTTAAAAAAAGCAATTAAAGCAATATAACACTCTACTGACGTGGGTTTTAAAGTTTTATAATTTGCCCGAGTTTTTAATGTTTTGCTTCTTTTTTTAAAATGCAGCCACCTGTCGTTTTAAATGGATAGTTTTAATTGTGAGCCACTCTGACAACCCTTCTCAGGATCAAGGCCAGGGTGCAAATGCATGGAGATATTAATTGCTGCTCCCCACCCACAAACCCAAGACAGTCTTCTCCAGGCCTGTGAGTTTTGTGCAAATGGAGAACAGGCTTGCGGCAAAGGTAGAATGCTGTTGCTACTTATCGTCTTTGGAAGGGCTTGGTACTGAAATGAACCCAAGCAGATCTGTGAGGCTGGATGCCATGGGGGTCGAGTATGGGGGATATTTATAACTCCAGCATCCTGCTAGCCTGGGTATATTTAGACAGAGCTGCCAAACAACAAGTCAGGGGAGAGGGCTTGGCCAAAGGGCTTAGCTGAACTCCCGTGTGCTACACCCAAGAGGAATTTTCCTTGCTGGGTCGCTTCTTTCCCTGCCTCTCACAGTTTTGTCGTCGTCGTCATTTAGTCGTGTCCGACTCTTCGTGACCCCATGGACCAGAGCACGCCAGGCCCTCCTGTCTTCCACTGCCTCCCGCAGTTTTGTCAAACTCACATTAGTAGCTTCGAGAACACTGTCCAACCATCTCGTCCTCTGTCGTCCCCTTCTCCTTGTGCCCTCCATCTTTCCCAACATCAGGGTCTTTTCCAGGGAGTCTTCTCTTCTCATGAGGTGGCCAAAGTATTGGAGTCTCAGCTTCACGATCTGTCCTTTCAGTGAGCACTCAGGGCTGATTTCCTTAAGAATGGATAGGTTTGATCTTCTTGCAGGTTTGATCTTCTTGCAGTCAAGAGTCTCCTCCAGCACCTAATTCAAAAGCATCAATTCTTCGGCGATCAGCCTTCTTTATGGTCCAGCTCTCACAATGCTAACCTACAAAAGCAATGAGCCAATGAATGGCCGAGTCCTAGGCAGGAACCAAGCCTCCCTTTCTGTTTATATCTTCTAAGCATCCCCAACCTGCTGCCCTCCGAATGTTTTGAACTACAGCTTCACATGAGACAACAGTGTGATGCAGCAACAAAAAAATTCTAATGCCATTCTAGGCTGCATCAACAAAAGTATAGTGTCCAAGTCAAGGGAAGTCATAGTACCACTCTGTCCTGCCTTGGACAGACCACACCTGGAATACTTACTGTGTCCAGTTCTGGGTGCCGCAATTTAAGTAGGATATTGACAAGCTGGAACATGTGCAGAGGAAGGCAACTGAGATGAACAAGGGTCTGGAAACCAAGCCTTATGAGGAACAGTTGAAGGAGCTGAGTATTTAGCCTGGAAAAGAGGAGACTGAAAGGAGATAGGATAGCCATTTTCAAATATATACAAGGCTGTCACGTGGAAGATGGAGCAAGCAGCTTGTTTTCTCTTGCCCCAGAGGATAGTACCTGAACCAGTGGCTTCAAGTTACAAGAAAGGAGATTCCCTCATTGCAGGGGGTTGGACAAAAAGACCTTGGCCTGCTCCCAACAGGTAATGTTGCGGTGGGGGGCATAGACAGCTTGGCCTTATAGAGTCGGTGTCCCTGGCTGCCTTCATTATTCTCCCTTACTGCTGGAATTTAGACTTCCAGCTTCTTGGGGCAGAGATCTGTCTTCCTTTCACTCCTTTGTTTTGAGTATATTAAAGCGAAGTAAGGTTGGAGAACCTTTGGCTTTCATCTCTGACCATTGGCCATGCTGCTGCTGGGAGTTAATCCATATCAGGAAAGCCGTATGCTTCCCATTCCAAGTGCAAAGAGATGTGCATTGATGTTTCCACCGAAAATAACGATAAAAGGATGCCTCTCAGCTGGTTCTGGGGCCATTTTTTTGGTTTCTGATACCCAGTGTACCAACCTGGATCAAACCACTGACCCAATAGCCCCATACAGCAAAAAGTCTAGTTAACTATGCTAGGGAACAGACAAACTGCAGTCTGCATTAAATGTGTAGTCTGCTGTTGTGTATTTTCTTCTTCTTAAGATAGCAGGCGTGTGTGTTTGCGTTCGATAAGGACAAGAAGCAACGGAGTGGGCAGGCGGGGTGAGTTAACTAGCACGCAGAGAAAGGGTTAAACCTTTGCACTCCCCATTCCCAGTCCTACCCCTCCCATCCCACTCCTGCCTTGGAAATCAAAGGCAGCCTAGGGGAGAGACAGTGTGGTGTAGTGGTTAGAGGGCCAGACTAGGACCTGGGAGACCGGGGTTCAAATTGCCATTTGGCCAGTATTATTTATTAAATTTATATACCACCCTTAATCCGAAGATCACAGGATGGTTTACAGTATATAAACACAAAAATATATAGCATAATAAAACAATAACACACACATCCTATACTTAGTTTTAAAAGCCATAGATTAATTAGTCAAAGGCATGGGTGAAGAAGACTGTTTTAACCTGGCGCCTAAAGATATGTAGTGAAGGTGCCAGTTGAGCCTCCCTGGGGAGAGCATTCCACAAACAGGGAGCCACTGCAGAAAAGGCCCCGTTCTCATGTTGCCGCTCTCCAGATGAAGCTCACTTGGGCTAGTCACTGCCTCTCAGCCCAACCTAACTTGCAGGGTTGTTGTGGGAATTAAATGGGGAGGGGGAAAACCATGTGCACTACCTTGATCTCCTTGGAGGAAAAGGTGGGATATAAATGCGATAAATTATATGCAGGGGTTTAGCCTCAAGTGCATCCCCTCCAGGTAAGTCTGCAAAAGGGAAGAGAGGTGCTTCATTCTCTCTCCAAAGAGCGTGGCATCAGGTTGTGTGGGCAATCTAGCTAGTTAAAAGGAATGAATCATGAGTCACGGCAAAGCTTGCAGGCATCCCCGCAGAGGGGAAAACAAAAGGGCTGGTTTCATTTCAAGGTTTCCAAACCTGATGTACCCTTGGTTAACAGATTGTCCTCGGCAGAATGTCAGATTCAGTCAGTTGCAACATTAAAGAACAATAATACTGCATTGGCGCATGTATTTTGATGTCCTTGTAGCTTGCTTTCCTGTGGTATATATTCTCAAAACATGAAAATAAACACACACACACACACACACACACACACACACAGTATACAAATGCATGAATTGTAGGGCCACTCTCTTCTGTAGACCTGCAAGGTAAAGGTAAAGGTAAAGGTAAAGGGACCCCTGACCATTAGGTCCAGTCGTGGCCGACTCTGGGGTTGCGGCACTCATCTTGTTTTATTGGCCGAGGGAGCCGGCATATAGCTTCCGGGTCATGTGGCCAGCATGACTAAGCCGCTTCTGGCGAACCAGAGCAGCGCACGGAAACGCCGTTTACCTTCCCGCCTGAGCGGTACCTATTTATCTACTTGCACTTTGACGTGCTTTCAAACTGCTAGGTTGGCAGGAGCAGGGACCGAGCAATGGGAGCTCACCCCGTTGCAGGATTTCGAACCACCGACCTTCTGATTGGCAAGTCCTAGGCTCTGTGGTTTAACCCACAGCGCCACCCGCGTCCTGACCTGCTTGATAGTCCATCCCATTGTTTGGGGGCGGCAGTCTAGCCTGATCCAACTCCTTCTCCCTCTATGGCTGTGTGCATCCCATAACATTTAAAGCACATTGCTTTCCCCAAAGCAGGGCTTCCCAAACTTGGGTCTCCGGCTGTTTTGGGACTACAGCTCCCATCACCCTTAGCTAACAGGACCAGTGGTTGGGGATGATGGGAATTGTAGTCCAAAAACAGCCAGAGACCAGTGTTTGGGAAACCCTGGCTCAAAGCATCCTGGGAACCATGGTTTGTTAAGGGATCTGGGAACTGTAGTTCTGCGAAGGGCAAACTACAGTTCCCAGGCTTCTTAAAAGCCATGTGCTTTTAAGTGAATGGTGCATGCACGGCCGGGCTGTCTCCTCTGCTGTGCTGCCTGTGGGTTTTTTTCTTTTCTTTCGCACCTTCTGGTCAGCAGCATACACTGCTGTTCCCCTGCAGCCTTTGTCCTGGAGCCAAGGCAGACTTAATTTAGCTCCCCTAATCTTTCCTTCTCTGCCGCTAGCCAGTACCTTCCCTCTTTTTTTTTTTTTTTTTAAAAAGAAGTTTGTTCCTTTCCCTCAACTCCAACCAGCCCTTATCTCCTCGCGGAAGACCAGGGAGGCCCAGAAGTACGGATCCTGAGGGGTAGGTGTGAGGGGCTGCACGGGGCAGGTAGCGAAGCAATTCCCCCACTCTTTATTTCGGGAAAGGAGACAAGACGACCCCAAGGGCACTGCTGTTGTGCAGGGTGAGTTTCCTGCGAGGGTGAGCCTATGGGTGGGATAATATAACACCCTTGCATGCCAAAGCCCAGCAGAATGGGCACCTCTCTGGGGAGGAACAGGGACAGCTGTGTCAGGGGCTGTAATGGAGCTGTCCCTGTTCCTCCCCAGAGAGGTGGTTGTGTTGGCTTTTTGGAATGGGGTATGTCATACTCAGGGGGCGAGCGTTTTTCTCTGGTGTGTAGCAGTGCTTGGAAAGCCAGTTTTTTAAAAGAAACTGCAGTTGCCAGGATTCTGTGGTGGTCGTTGTGGGGCAAGCAATGTGTTTTTAACGTGCTTTAAAAATAACGTCGTGATTTTTCACATTGATGGAATATGCAGAAATGGCAAGTTTATCTCGTGAAATCAGAAATCAAGATGAGGCAGAATTCAAGGAGGGTTGGAGAAAGTTTGTAGATTGTTTTTTTAAAAAACAACTATTGTAAACATGCTAAAACGCAAGTGGCTTTAGAGTAAAAACAGCAGTAAAATACAGATTTGAAAATACTGTGGAAAAGGTAAGATATGGAATAACTAGCCTGCAGCATAAATTAGAAAAATATGATTGTACATTGGCAAATGTTGCTTCAACTTTCTCTTTGAAATATATAAATAAAAGCTTATGAAAACAAATAAATGAAATAAACCTTTGGTGTGGATGTGACATGCTCCCATGATGTCTAGCCTCACCCTGTGAAGGTGCAGCCGTCCTTTCTGCATTTAAAGCAGCCTTGCAAAGAACCCTGGGAACTACAGTTCCCAGCGCCCTCGCTCAATTAAAGTTGCCAGGATTCTTTGTGGGGAGGGAAAGGGGCTTTAAGGGTACAGGCTTGTGTTCAACATAGTGCTAAGATTCTGCCAGCAAAATGGTTACGTGATGGAATCTCCTCCCCCTCGCACCCCCCCAAATGAAAATGGTTGAAAATGGCCCTGGTGGGCATGCAGCCCCCAAGGAAAGGTCTGATCCAGCTGAGGTACAGTCAGTGTTAACTGGATCCACCAATGGGTGCAAGGGGACTCTTCTCTCTCTGCCCCCTTTCCTCTGAAACTCAGTATTGCAATGCCGAGATTTTCCAAGGCCTTTGGGTGCTTGAACCCGAAATTCTCTGCATCATGCTCCCATCAGGGCAAATTAACAATAATGCAATCGGCTTCATTAATGGCGACAGATTGGCACATGCATCGGATCTCCTGTTTTTGCAGCCCCTCTGGCCCATCGGATACTAGAGGGTGGCAAAGCTTGAGAGCATGGCAGAATGACCTACATAAATATTGGGCTCCTGCAGATCTGTTTCTTGAGCATTTATGTGGATTTGCTTGCGCACAGCTTACACAGAGGTTAAGCAATATCTAGCTTTAATTTTTAATGTATATCTTATTGGTTTTATACTCCACCTTTTCTCCGAGGAGCTCAGGGTGGTGTGCATGGTTTTCTCCCTTCCCCATTTTTAACTTCACAACAACCCTGTGAGGTTGTTTAGGTTGGGAGACTGTGGCTGGCCCCAGGTCACCTAGTGAGTGTCAGGTCTGCCTGGGGATTTGAACCCTGGTCTCCCTGTCGCTTTCCTAACCACAAAAACGGTTTGTTGTCCGCCCTGCTCCACCTAGGATTTGTAGTTGCAGAACAACAGCTAGGCACTTTTACCCATTGGAATTCTGCAAGCCTAAATTTCTTTCTGTGCCCGAATCCCTCCCGCAAAATACAGGCAGCCTGGAGGCGACAGATGTATTGTCCCCATAAAAAAGGCAAAGGGACCCTTGACCATTAGGTCCAGTCGCAAACGATTCTGGGGTTGCAGCGCTCATCTTGCTTTACTGGCCGAGGGAGCCGACGTTTGTCCACAGACAGTTTTTTCTGGGTCATGTGGCCAGCATGGCTAAGCAGCTTCTGGCTAACCAGAGCAGCGCACGGAAACGCCGTTTACCTTCCCGCTGGAGCGGTACCTATTTATCTACTTGCACTTTGACTTGCTTTCAAACTGCTAGGTTGGCAGGAGCTGGGACCAAACAACGGGAGCTCACCCCGTCGCAGGGATTCGAACCGCCAACCTTCCGATCGGCAAGCCCTAGGCTCAGTGGTTTAGACCACAGCTCCACCCGCGTCCCTATTGCCCCCATAGTGGGGTTCAAAATTGGCTGCCAGAGGCATACTGTTTCTCCTGTTGCCCAGTAGCATTGCTAGCCCGGCTGGAGGCAACCCCAGCCGCCAACTTGCTTTCTTCCAGGAATGTGCTCCCTGCTGGGGTGCAGTTACTGAGCAGCAGGGAAAGGCAGGCGGGTGTTGCTCTGCAGCTACAGCAACAAACAATAGGGTGTGTATGTGTGGGAAATTAAGGCTACAAGGAACCGACAAAAGAACATTCAGGCAGCTCTAAACCTGGCCGTCCCTGGATTGTCCAGCCAGTCTAACCGTCTGCATCCCCCCGTTTCAATCTCCCCAGCATGCAGAGAAGCTTTTGTACGCTTGTCCAATGGATCTCAAAATTACGAGCTGCCTGGGCAGGCCCAAACGTCTCCTGCACATTCCACAAGGCTTTGGCGACACTCTGCTCCCTGCCAGAGCCTGGCTTCCACATTTTTGGTCTTGTGCCGTGGTTGTGAGGTCCCCAGCGTCGTCCTAGCAGAGGAGGAGGTCCCCCGCTTCTTTGCAGCCCCTCCCACACTCATTGATTGACAGGTGGTTGACAGGTCCCTGCTCCTACCCGCAACACCTCTCTCAGTCGATGCCGGCATCATTGCCTAGCTGCAAATCTGGCTAATACAAGAAGGAAGTGTTATAGCTCGGTGGCAGAGCAAGTGCAAACACGTGGCACTGTAGCTTGAAAACCCATTTTTTGAGAGCAAAGTGGTACCTAACGTTTAGAGCAGCTCCAAATGTGTGAGCTGGGGTGTTCTTTGTTGCACTGAGAAATCTCTTGGCTGACGTTTGCAGTTGAAAGCGTGGCCTTTCTGGCAGAGAGTGAGCCAAGGCATGGGAGTGTTCCTATTCCCCTTTCCTGCTCGGTTAGTGATAGCAGCAGCCAAACATGCAAGCCAGAAGGATGTTTGTGGAAAGGATCTGTTTGTCTGAGCACTATGGGGCTGGGGTAGGAAGTGAGGAAGCAGGGGCCGGCCTTCCAGCATTAGTCCGATGGTGGTGGTTGTTTTTGAACCATTGCCTAGCAGCGAAGTCACGTGATGAGTGTCGACGCAAATTGAGCCAAATGGGACCCCTGAGGAACGGGTGGGTGAGAGGGGTACAGAATGGAGTACAGTTACGCTTCAGGTTACATATGTTTCAGGTTACAGACTCCGCTAACCCAGAAATAGTACCTCAGGTTAAGAACTTTGCTTCAGGATGAGAACAGAAATCACACAGCGGCGGCACAGCAGCAGCAGGAGGCCCCATTAGCTGAAGTGGTGCTTCAGGTTAAGAACAGTTTCAGGTTAAGAACAGGCCTCCAGAATGAATTAAGTACTTAACCTGAGGTACCACTGTATCCTGGAGCAGGGCTGAGCAGGTCGGAGGCCTGATATATACTGCAGCATTTTATTGCAAGCCTCAGTTGTTTTCCGTAAGTGCCTCCTCGGCCATTGGAGGCCATGGGCACTTGCAAACAGAGACTCTGAATTTTAGCTGAATTCTCCCTCTTTCTTGTTAAATGCACTTTGATCCGCATGTTCTGGTTAAGAGCACGACGGGACCTTTCTCTGCCGGAAGGTTGCGAGCTTAATTGCCTGCCAGGGCAGGCAGAAGGGAAACCCTGAAACGTCCCTGAGCGCCCTAGAGACAGGTTATCATTTGCAAACATTGCAAAGCAGTTTTCAGTGGCTGCAAAAAAGCCTATTGCCATAGTTACAGGCCTTTGCCCTCGCTTCCACAGGGCCACTGAGGCCATTTCAGGATGTGAAATAATGGGTCCAGCCCCAGCTGTTTGAGGAACCATTTCCTCTCCTCTCCCAGTCCGTTTCCCTTTCCACCTGGCTGATCTGAACCCCCCCCCCAAACCGCCCCTCTCCCCACAGCCGTCTTGCTGACACTTCTCAGCCATCTTTGTTTCCTGCTTGCGTTTTGAGGGACATTCTCTAATTCTGGAACATTTCTCAGCAAAGCTCTATTTTTAACCGTACCCCCCTGGCTCCCGGTGGACTAGCTGTTTACTTTTCCGTCCTTAAGAGTAGCCGACTTTGCGTTCTCTCAGGGTTCCTGCTTGTTCAGTAGGAACTCCCCAACAGGCTGCGATCTTTCTTCAGGGCAATGCCGAGCGATGTGGGAAACATTACCTGTTGAATTTCTGCTGGTTGCCTCAGATTGGTGCGTCCGTTGACAGCGCAGGAGCCCTCTCAAGAGGGAAAGGCAGCAACCTTGCTGGGAGAAAAAGGTGGAGGAGGTAGAAGAAAGGAGGAATGAAGAGGGGAAATGTTATGTACTGAAGTTCTCACCCTGGGCCAGCAGGGAGATATTGTAGATAGTTTTCACTCAGGTCCACATATGCAAATAAGGGATTGAAAGTGACATTCAGTGATTGGATAGTTACAGAAAATGGTTACTGTTGCGTTCTAGTGGAGCTCTATATAAGCAGGCTGGCTGAACCCTTCAGTTCAGTTCTGGCCTGGCCTGTGAATAAACAAGAGCTGTTTGAAGAATCGCTGTGTCATCTGATATGTTCACCCACAACTTAACAGGAAATGCCCTGAAGAAGAAGAACATGTCTGAAAAGGTGGAATTTGCAGCTCATGGCAGCTGTTTTTGGTGGAAAACAGGATAGGGGAGAAAGGTTTAGCCCTAATAGGGTTCTCTTTGCATGCTGGGGCTAAGTACAGTGGTACCTTGGGTTAAGAACTTAATTCGTTCCGGAGGTCCATTCTTAACTTGAAACTGTTCTTAACCTGAGGTACCACTTTAGCTAATGGGGCCTCCCACTGCCGCCATGCCGCAGCCACTCAATTTCTGTTCTCATCCTGAAGCAAAGTTCTTAACCTGAGGTACTATTTCTGGGTTAATGGAGTCTGTAACCTGAAGTGTCTGTAACCTGAGGTACCACAGTACACTTTTTAGAAAGTGTGCTTAACACAATGTGTAGTTGGACCCCATAGTAGGGAACCTGAGGGCTGAATGCAACCTTCCAGGACTCTCTGTGTGGTCCTCAGCTCTCTCTCCAGGCCACACCCCCTTTCACCAGGCCACACCCCTTTCCCTCCAGGCTGCACACCTCACCAGCCTTGCTTTGTGCTCTTCCTGGGAGTTTTTGCCTTGCTGGAATGCGTCCTTGAATTCTAACGATTCTCGCTTGCCTGAATGGTGGGCAGATCTAACCACAGAATCATAGAATTGGAAGGGACTCCAAGAGTCATCTAGTCCAACCCTTGCAATGCAGGAATCTCAGCTAAAGCAGATTACATCCTGCACATTGCTCAAGCCAGGAATCTGACTATTCGTTGCTTTTATATCTTCTCAGAACAGTCATGGAGTTGTGGTTCCTTCTGCCTCTGTGTGGGATCTTGATAGGATCTGCAGTAGCAGGTAAGCTTGTGGAGGGGCAGGGAGGAGAAGGGGGAGAAACACCTGAGAACGTCCGCTGACATTTGGGCATTTTGTACTCTGCGCAAAAAGAAAATCCAGTTCAAATATATACTGCACCTTATAGTCAAAAAGGATCTTGTTGAGCCAAGGTGGTGTAGTGGTTAGAATCTCGGACTAAGACCAGGGAGACCTGGGTTCAAATCCACACTCACTGGGTGACCTTGGTCTAGTCCATGGGTAAGCAAACTAAGGCCCGGGGGCCGGATCCGGCCCAATCGCCTTCTAAATCCGGCCCGTGGACGGTCCGGGAATCAGCGTGTTTTTACATGAGTAGAATGTGTCCTTTTATTTAAAATGCATCTCTGGGTTATTTGTGGGGCATAGGAATTTGTTCATTTCCCCCCCAAAATATAGTCCGGTCCCCCACAAGGTCTGAGGGACAGTGGAAAAAATTTGCTGACCCCTCGTCTAGTCACTGCCTCTTAGCCTACTTTACAGGATTGTTGTGGGGATTAAATGGGGAAGGGGAAAACCATATACACTACCTCAAACCTCTTGTGGGGGGCAGGGGCAGCAGACGGTAGGATAAAAATATAATAAATCAAATAAATAAACCTGAACTTGCCAGTATTTGCTTGAATGTCACCCCAAAATAGCAGGTGTCTGAAAGTGCCACTTATATATCCAGGCCTTTTCGGTGTTGTTTTTGTTGTTATTTCTTAATTTATATGCCGCTTAGTTGCCAGGTGGGATAGGAAATGCAATTTAAAGAGGAGGAAAGGTGGGATATGAATAAAAATAAATAATAAAAATAATTCCCCCCCCCCCATTGGGTTTATCAAGATCATGGGAAGTTATTATAACGCTAAATAGTTCAGTATAAAGTGATTGATTAATGGGGGCAGGGCAGGGACGATTGAAGGATAACTGTATTATTAATCTCCTCTATATATGTGTGTGTGTGTTTGCCTCTTTCAGAACCACCACAGCCCAAGGACATTCCACACGACCCATTCAATTATGGTGAGCCAGTTGTTACTACCTGGGGTCAGGGGATAGATGGCAAGGGCAGAGACCCCCCTAAAAGACTTTTGGAAACAAAAAACGTCTTGTCCAATCTCCTCGTTTTTGAACTTAAAGAAACTATAACTTTAAAAGAGGTGTGGATGACTCTGACTTGGAGCGCAGCACTGATGCAAAGGAGAGATTTTTTTGTGTTTTTTAACCTTCCGTCACCACCTGTGGAGGCTATTTTCCTCAGCCTATGTCTCCCTTGCTCCCCACAGTGGAGACCCATCCATTCAAGCAAATGGGGCACTGCTGCACCAAGATCAGTCTGTCCCCAGCCAGCCCTCACATGTCTGCCTACCTCTTCACTGACATGAGGTGGCTGTGGCTGTCAGCTTCCTATTCCTTAGTCTCAGTGCTGGCCTTCTAGGACTCAACAGGCAGGAGGAAACCTGTGCCACATTTACACCGTGCCTTAAAGGTACTGTGATACCGCTTTAAACAGTTGTCTCTCTCCCCGCTCCCCAAGAACCCTGGGAGCTGTTGTTCTGAGAGTTCTTAGAAGACCCCTATTCCCCTCACGGTTTCACAGTCAATCCCTCTCCATAGGGAACTGTGGGAATTGAAGCTCTGCGAGGAGAATGGGGCCTCCTTTCCTTAGTTGGCATTTGCTGTCATTGGCTTGGGGACACGGGTGGCGCTGTGGTCTAAATCACGTCAAAGTGCAAGTAGATAAATAGGTACCGCTCCGGTGGGAAGGTAAACGGCGTTTCCGGGCGCTCCTCTGGTTCACCAGAAGCGGCTTAGTCATGCTGGCCATATGACCGGGAAGCTGTCTGTGGACAAACGCCAGCTCCCTCGGCCTATAGAGCAAGATGAGCACCGCAACCCCAGAGCCGTCCGCGACTGAACCTAACGGTCAGGGGTACCTTTACCTTGGGAGCTCCGCCTACGGTTTGGGCTACCAGAATTTTGCCCTACTCATCCCAATGGGCACCAGCTGCTACTGATCCAGAAAACCCCACCAGGTTGGGGAACACTGATGCAAAGCATCACAAGAGCGTCCCCTCATTCCAAGTCGGGGATATGTTCCCAGCTGGAAATGACCACTTCTTCCTTCTCCTTCCTTCTCAGATTACCACTCGCTGAGAATTGGGGGGCTGATTTTTGCTGTCGTCCTGTTTCTGCTTGGCATTCTTATTGTGCTCAGTGAGTAGATTCTCTCCCTCTCCCCCCACCCCCCAAGCTGAGCCATGGCACCTGCTGAATTTCCCCAACATTGCGACTGTAATGAAATGCAGCCTCAGAAGCTGCAGGCATGAGGAGGAAGGGCTCCTTTCACACTCCTGTTTAGTGGAGGGCTGGTTGCTCAGGGTGAAAGGGACACTTCCCCACCAACTCTCAGCCTGCCCTCTGCCAGACCCAGCCTTGCTTTCTTACTTACATCCAGCATACATGGTATTAATGGCTATCCTTGTCCTCAATCTCAGTGTCATAGAAGTCATCAGGGAGGCAGATGTGGACAAAACTAGAATTAGCATGCTCTGGCCCCACCTACTGTTGACCTCCCTGCCTCCTGCCTCGCCAGTTCCAAATAGGAACCAGCCACCACTGTCCAGTTGTTATTTTTTCTCCTCTTAAGGCCCACACAGTGGGGCTCAGTTGCACACTCTGTCTCACACACCGGATACTTGTACCTTTTCTCTCGAGGAGTGAAAAGCAGCTGGTGGGGGCGGGGTAGGAGGGGGAAACTACTGAAGGGAAATGGATCAAGGAGCCCATGTGGACGTATGGCTCAGTCAGTAGAGCATGAGACTCTTAATATCAGGGTTGTGGGTTCGAGGCTCACATTGGGAAAAAATAAAAATAAAAATCCCGCATTGCAGGTGGTTGGACTTGATGACCTTTGTGGTCCCCTCCAACTCTAGAATTCTATGATTTTATATAAGAAGCTGTCTTTTACAGAGTCAGGCATTTGTCCTGCCTTGTCCACGATTGCTTCCTCTGACTGGAAGTGGCTCTACAGGGACCCCAGCAGATGTCTTTCCCATCGCTCACATCCCTGGAGACACCGGGGATTGAATTTGGGGCCTTCCACAGGCAAAGTTACGTGCTCTGCCATAACTTTCTACTGCCACCTTCTGGTGGTCTTCTGCAGCACGTTAACAGCACATGCAGCTCCTAAGTGTCACCAGGCTTGTAGATAAATTGGAGCTTCTGAGATACAGGAGGGTGTGTGGGCATACTTGGGGGAACCTTGAGGTTTGCAAAAGGAAAACACATCAAGGGAAAACCCGAAGGGGAGGAATCTTCTCCAACCAAAAGAGCAACCCAATGAAAGCTGCTTGTGTCCTCAGAATGCCATTGAGAAGATGTTTGGAATGGAGTTTTCGGGAGGAGGGCATGGCTGGCTGGAACCCCAAGCAGCCGCACTCTGTGCAACATTTTGTTGCAGGTCTCACTTGTAGTCTCTGAGCCCCATGTGGACCTCAGACTGTTGATCTATTTAGCTCAAGACTGGCTGGCTTCAGTGCTCTTAAGTTTAGCCTTTCCCATCCTGTCTTTAGATATTTTGTGGATTGGAGTTGGGACTGTCTCTATGCATTCTGCCACTGACCTGTGGGCTCCCTCTAATGTAAGATTACCAGATTTTTTTCAATGAATCTGGGGACACTTATCAACTTCAATGGATTTTGTATGGGGACTGATGTGTAAATCCCAGGACTGTCCCGGGGAAACGGGGATGTCTGGTAACCTTAAATTAGAGTGAGCTGCTTTCTCTTCCAACCACTGGGCAACACTCCCTTCCCAAAGAATGCTGGCAATCCCAGAGTCTTTGCTTCTCGTCTGTCCCCGTACTGATTTTCTTTCACTGTTTGGGATTTCTGTCTCTCTTTCCCAGGTCGACGTTGTCGCTGCAAGTTCAACCAGCAACAGAGGTAATGCCTTTCTCCTGAAAAGCTTAAATGGGTGACCTAGGATGGAGGGGCTATTATATATGGCAGATGCAGACAGGTGACCTAGCAAGGAGAGAAAAAAGTAGCACACTCAAATTATGAGTCTTGGAGAATGTGACATTATAACCTGAACAGGACAACAGCGCCCTCTAGAGCATCTGTGATCAGACCATTCCTCCGGAAGTCTGCAACAAACTGATATCCTGTCTTCTATTCTTCAGTCTGCATTCTGAGGTTGATAATCATTTATTGCAGTACCTCATCTAATCAAAAACAGCTAAGCCTTCTTATAATATAAGTTTTAATGAATCATCAAGGAGGTGGAATCAACCTCTAAAGAAATTCTGATTGGCAAAATATACTTTATCTCATGTGCCAGTAGTCTGTTACACAAATAGGCCCAAAACCGATCTGCCTCTGTGAACAAACAGGCTTTGCGCTCTGTCTTTGTCTTCTTGGAACCATCCAATCAGGAGGCCAAAGATATTCTCTTGTTCAGAAATTCTCTTCTATAAGGAACTCTGGACATGCTCTGAAATTCAAGACTTTGCTTAAGCAGGTAAAATGTAACTAGGTCAGGCTGATTTTTCTTTTTCTTTGCAAGTCTTGTGTATGATTTTGTTGCCTTCCCTTTATTTAATATTATTTAAAATATTTGTATACCACTTCTCATTAAAACAATACCAAGGTGTACAGTAAAACAGTTTGGTACAAAACAACCAGAAGTACAATCGGAAAAAGATCTTCCCACACACCCTTTCCTCCAGATAAAAACTATTTACACTTGGACATTTGGCTTCACTCATTTCCAAAAGCTTCCCCATGTGCTAAGACTGCACAGTTGTTAAGCTGCCTCCTTTGTTTTCTTAAGGAGCTTTCACAAGATTTTGTTTATTTATTTCTTTATATATATATTTATAGCCGGCACTTTCATAAAAACATATCCAGGTGGTATGCAACATATAAGGATAAAATCAGCCAGAAGCATCCATAAATACATCAGTAAAACATAGTGATTGCTTAAAAAGAGATGGTTCGTGACAATATAGTTTTCAAAAGACATCTTAAAGAAGGAAGGGATGGTACCTGCCGAACTGTAGTGGCAGGGAGTTCCGCAGGGCAGAGCGTGCCCCACTCAAGGCTCAGTCCCTAGTTTAGAACAACCCAGCCTTAGGAGCATTGGGAACCAGCCAGAAGTCATCCATCAGACAGTCTCAGTGATTGAGGTGGACCATAAGGAATCAGGCAGTCCTTAAGGTATTTGGACCTTAAGTTGTTTAGGGCTTTATGAATGAACACAAGTAATTTGAATCTGGCCTGGTAGCAGAGAGCAAATTGTTAAACTTGGGGCTTTGGAAAAGTAAATACAAAGCTTCTCCCTCCCCACCAGAGGCGTAGGGTGGGTTGCCAGCACTCCGGGCTACCTGGAGGAGCAAGGGTGAGAAGGAGGGAAACAGACAGAGACAGAGAACGCATGTACATTCAGCTGCCTAACAGCATCTGCAGCACCCAAGAGATTGCAGCTGTAGAGATAAGAAAAGAAGAGTTGTTCCATTGCCCTAAGAAGTTCTCATGGAGAGGCCGTTTTCAACAGAGCCCAGCAACGGAATCGCGCAACTGTATTGAGACAGCACCAGGTGTTGAGATTTGGCGGCCTTAACAATTTTGCGCCCGGGGCAATTACCCCTGTAGCCCTCCCCAAGCTACGCCACCGCTCCCTGCTCCCCCACCACAATAGTTGGGTTGGAAGGAGGGGTCCTTGGCAGTAGGGGTCAGACCACCAGCCCTCCAAACAGCAGAGCAGAGCCTGTCACAATGCACAACACGGGTAGTCAACCCTTTTGGGCCCATGGAAATGTGAATAAATCCATAGTTGGTATGGCTCATTAGCTCGCATCACCTTAATTAACCATTTCTGTTGGTGCCCTGAGTAGTTATTTTGTCTGTCAACAGGAGGAGCTATTGCTTTGCTCTTGTACAAAACACCATGGTTTTTAAAATACAGAAATTGCTGCAGGATATGAAGAGAGCAAGGCATTTTTGTTAAGCGCAGCATGACAAATATTTTTTTCTATTTACAGGACGGGTGAACCTGACGAGGAGGAGGGGCCCCTGCGCAGCTCGATTCGGCGTAAGATCCAGCCTACTTTAGTCATCCTTCACTTCCCCTTCTGCGCCCTTCTTTTCCTCATGCTTGAGGACTAGAAACTTTAAAAAGAAAACCAAGGAGCTGAACCTTGTGCCTACCTCAGATTTATTCGTTTCGTTAAAAACTTTTTATCTGTTTATTCTGTAAAAATTATACACTGCTTGATTGCAAAAACAAAACAAAAGCTTATACAGTCATACCTCGGGTTAAATACGCTTCGAGTTGAGCGCGTTCGAGTTGCGTCCCGTGGCAACCCGGAAGTAATGGAGTGCGTTAGTTCTGGGTTTCGCCGCTTGCGCATGCACAGACGCTCAAAATGACGTCACGCGCATGCGCAGAAGCAGCGAAAAGTGGTGTGTGCGTGTGCAGACGTGCTGTCGCTAGTTAGGTTTACCTCTAGATGCGAACGGGGCTCCGGAACAGCTCCCGTTCGTATCTAGAGGTACCACTGTATATATATGAAGGGGTCGGCAGAAGGTAGATTGGGATCTGCTGTTAGGATTTCTAAGTGCATTGGAATAGATTGGCAAGGACTCCTGGCTCAGGTGTTTAACAATAGCAACCAGGATATGACTTTTCCCACCTTAATTGAGCTGCTGAAAAAAAGAAAGTGAGTGGACATTTGTTTGGTAGGACTGCACGTTCAACTTGCGTCCCATCTACACCACACGTTTAAAGCAGTATCATGCCACTTTAAACACCTATAGCCTCCCTCAAAGAATCCTGGGAGCTGTAGTTTGTTAAGGGTGCTGAGGGCTGTTGTTGTTGTTTAGTCGTTTAGTCGTGTCCGATTCTTCGTGACCCCATGGACAAGAGCACAGTGGCGTAGCGTGGGGGGTGCAGGGGGGGCCGGCCGCACCAGGCACAACATCTGGGGGGGGGGGCGCGCTCGCACTCGCAGCTCTCTGCCCCTACCTGGCTCACTCACTCTCTCTCACTGCAGTGCTGGCTGTGCGAATCTGATCCGAGCCACTGGGTCGCCGCCCACTGTGGAGGGGGGGGGGTGCCCGGCGTGCGGTGCGGAGAGAGAGCGAGGGACTATCTGGGGGGAGGGACAGTGCAGCGGCCGCCCAGCGCAGCGCTGAGCGCGGGAGAGAACCACACCAGACCAGACCAGGCAGCAGCAAGAAGAAGCTGGCAGCGGTGGCAGGTTAGGGGTTAGGGGGCGCAAATTACTTGCCTTGCCCCGGGTTAGGGGGCGCAAATTACTTGCCTTGCCCCGGGTGCTGACAACCCACGCTACGCCGCTGCAAGAGCACGCCAGGCACTCCTGTCTTCCACTGCTGGTAGCTTCGAGAACACTGTCCAGCCATCTCTTCCTCTGTCGTCCCCTTCTCCTTGTGCCCTCAATCTTTCCCAAAATCAGGGTCTTTTCCAGGGAGTCTTCTCTTCTCATGAGGTGGCCAAAGTATTGGAGCTTCAGCTTCACGTTCTGTCCTTCCAGTGAGCACTCAGGGCTGATTTCCTTAAGAATGGAGAGGTTTGATCTTCTTGCAGTCCATGGGACTCTCAAGAGTCTCCTCCAACACCATAATTCAAAAGCATCAATTCTTCAACGATCAGCCTTCTTTATGGTCCAGCTCTCACTTCCATACATCACTACTGGGAAAACCATAGCTTTAACTATACAGACCTTTGTTGGCAAGGTGAGGGCTGTTAGGAGACCCCTATTCCCCTCACAGAGCAGCAGTTCCCAGAGTGGATTAACAATCAATTCTTCTTTCCAGGGAATTTTGGGAATTGTACCTCTTTGATAGGATCCAGCCAGGCAAAAAACCTTGAGGCACAAAGAAAGGCCTGTGAAGAGGCTGTGGCCTGAGGAGGGCCAGACTGAGATGTCTGGAGGGCCTCATTCCATCCCCAGGCCTCAGGTTCCCCACTCCTCTGCTAGATCCTGTGCTGTGGGGCGAAATGTGTTTTGGGACTGCTTTGATTTGTCATGTAACAGGACACACTGCTGGGGCAAACTGTTCCTGCCTGGGGTGGATTAGGGAAAAAAGAAGGAAAGAAAGCTTAAAGCCTTTTAGGGAAACAACCGTTTTTTAAAAACTGTCTCTTTCTGACTCTCCTTGCTAGGTTTATCCACAAGGATGAGATAGAAGAAGCCTGAAACTGGTGAGTTGCATATACCGCAGGACTGGGGAGATGGACCACTGGTTTGGACAGACTGGTTGGGCTCCATGTCCCACTAGCATGCTCTGAAAATCAAGTCAACCGCTTTGCTCATAGTTTACACTGTATTGAAATTGAAAGTGATGATAGAACTTTCCAGTGAACACTACTGAATGGGCAGTGTATCACAATGGTTAGACTGGGACTAGGACCTGCTTGGCCAGGGTTCAATCCAGGGGTATTGTGGGAAACGCTAAATGGCGGCTCGCACACCCTGCCAATAGTGCTGACTGGAACACCGGAGGGGTTAAAGAGGGGGTTGTGGGGCAGCCACCAGAAGGGCAGGGTCTGCCGGACCCCTGGCAGCCAGTGGAGGCTCATCCATTGGGGCGAATGGGCATTCCCTTGCCAAGCTCAATCAACTCAGCCTGCCTGCCTTCTTACTTCCAGCCAGGGGTTGGCACTACCTGCCATCCTCCTGCCCCCTATCCCAGCAGGGAAGAGGCCGGTGGAGACAAAACAAGAATTAGTTGCCTCTGCCAGAAATTGTCTCTAGCGCCACCTACTGTCAGTCTCCCTGCTTTAAAACCTACCAGTTCCAAGGGGCACCAGCCAACCACTACTGGCAGCTGCCCAGGAACCCTGGGTGCCAACTCTGGGCCTGGCAGAGGCAGTCCTTGAAGTACCCAGGGCCTGAGCTGCCTAGGGCTTTTAAAGGTGAACCCTGTCCCTTTTAATTTAGCCAGGCACCTTCAGGCTTGCAATTACAGAGAGGCCCGGAAGTACACAAGAAGCTGCCTTATCCTAAGTCAGCAGCTCTCCAGGATTCAGGCAAGAGTCTCTCCCAGACCTATCTGGCGCTGATGGGATTCACCCTGAGACCTTCTGCATGCCAAACACGTGCTCTCCTACTGAGCTACAGTCCTTTCCTCTAAATTGATTGTGGGACACCTCACAGAGCAGTATGTCATGGAGAACCATCTGGAGAAACTGCGATCTCATCAGGGCTCTCTGGGGGCATCTGTTGGGCTTCTGCCTTTCTGGATTTATTTTGAACTGAACTCCTTCTGCGCCTGACTTTTCTTTTTCTCCTCCCAGGCTGCTCCTGACATGTCGTTCCCCCCATGATCCAGAGTGTTCCTGTCTCTGCACTGCACACAGACCTCGCCTCCCTGCTCCCCAGCAAGCCGCCTGCCTTTCACACCAAACCTGGCAAAACTCCAGGCCTGCTGTCTTCGTGGTGATCCCAGCCTAACTTGGAAGTGCTTAGCTTGCTGCGAGACTCCGAGAGAAAGGGGTTGCTGTCCGGCACATTTTGCTCAAGCTTAGTCCTCATCCTAGGCGATGGGGGATACTAAATCTGCCTTCCTGGTGCTCAAATGGTTACGATGAGACTTCCCAAGAGTGGTGGTAGAAATGATTTTCAGACATATCTAGGCATAAAGGCTGGCAGCTCTGTCCATGAAAAGAAAACAGAAGGGGTGTTCTTCATCCAGAGAAGCTAGGAGCTCATCCAAAGTGGGGGGTTGCTTCCACTGGCCTTTCAGATTGTCACTCGGTGCAATCTCAGTTACTCAGTGCAAGTGCAGAGTGCAAGGCAGCCTTTTCTTACTTGGTGCGTTCCAGATCTCGTCGGGCTCCCAATTCCCATCAAACCTGGCCAGCGTGCCCAATGGCCAGGGATGAAGGGAGTTGCAGTCCCGATGACATTTGGATGGCACTGTTTTGGGGGAAGCTGAAGGTGAGCACTGTCTCCAGAAGTTGTTGACACCTGTCTGTCTTGAAAGACAATGGAGTGCGCCTCTGGGGGTGAAGTCTAATCGCTGTGTTAATAGCACCAGAGTGACCTCCCCAGGGTGCAAGCCTGGACAGTGTGTATGGAGGTCCCAGGCTGGCCAAATGGCAAGACCCCTCTCTCGGCCTTGCTGATGTGGCCCAAAGGAAAGCAGAGCAATACGTTTGACAGCAGCTTGGCTGTAGGAGTTGCTGGACAGAGACATACAAGGCGCCATCCAACCACCTTGAGAACTGCAGATTTGCTTAGGGTTTTCTCCTTAGCCTTGTCTTCTCCTGAAGACATCCCTCAAGGCAGCAGAGGTCTAGGATCAGAGTCTTCCTTCTCCTAGATGGGCTGTTTTCCCAAGTTGTCAAGGAGCCCCATTTGCCCTTCACTTCCCTCTGCAGGATGTGCAGAAATCGCCTTCTTGACCATTGGGCCCACTACTGGTCTCATCCACTCCATCTGCTGGAGCCTGACTTCATATGCAGGGGAATTCCTTAACTCACCAAGGGTTTGAGACCCATCGGCTATCCTCGCCTGGTTTAGCCGGCCACTTTAAGCCATTGCCCAGAGTGTGGCTGCTGTCATATGCTGACAGCTTCTAGGAGCCACAGGTGAGAGCTGAGTGCAGGGTGGGGCCCAAAGCTGAACAAACTACCCTGGAAGGAGCACAGTGTGTTCCCCATCAGAGGTACTACCCCTCTCCTAACACCCCACCCCCAGGAAGAGGGTGATGAATAATGCAACCCTAACCGTGAGGCTCCCTAACCAGGATTTTGCCATTCCCCCAGAGCCTATTTGTTGTATTTAGCAGCTGCAGCCACAAGACGTAGCAGGGAATGTTCATTTTGTTCCTGTCTGGTGGAGTGTGAGTTCCCAGCCCTGCCAAATGCACAATAATACACTCTTATAAATGGGAAGGGAGTATGAGATCTTTCTTTTTTTTTAATGAGAGTAAATTGAGGCCTTTCTTTCTTGAACAAAAAATAGTGACAGTTTCGACAGGAAGAAGAAGTTCTGGCCTTATTACAAGCTTGCTTTTTTGCCAAGAACTTCCTACAGTCAGTGCAGAATATCCAGTTGTTGGGCTCAGCAAGCTGGCTGGATCTAACCAACTAGGGACGCAGAAGCCGTAGCCCTTCCAGATGTGATAGGACTCTCAACTCAATTGCCTATGGTAACTGGGGCTGATGGGAGTCCAGCACCAAATTAGAGGACCACGGCTTCTCCATCCTTAGCCTAAATCTTTGCCTGTGGCATAGCAATGCAGCCTGGCTCTGAAAATCCAGACCAGAACTGGAAATCTACTCCCAAGTGCCGATGCTTCAAATAATAAAACCTGGAGGCAGAAAGTAATTCCCGCCTTTGCCCTGAGTGTTGGGTGTGTAGGATGCAATAAATGAGTGTGTACGCTAGTTCTCCTGTTATACCGCCTTCACCTTCTTGGAAAAATGACTCTCAGTTATAGGCTAACCTTGCTGCGTGCGGTATCATTTGAGGTTACCTGCATTCTCTCGCAGTGTGGTTTCTTTCCAGCAGAGGGCAGTGCTATAACATCCACCTGCTTTGGTTCCGGCTGCGTAGGAGGAGCAGGTGTGGGTGGCACCTGTCAAAGCTTAATGCCTGATGCTCTTTGTACTGCTGGCCCTTAGGAAAGCTCTCCACTGAGCCCCGTTCCCCTGGTTTCGCTGACCCCTTTCTATGTTTCTGACCTTTTATGTCTGCCAAGTCTCTTCCACGACATTAAAATGCTACTTTCTCCAGCTGCGGTGAAATGTCAGACTTTGCTTTCTCTGTGTGTCTGTGTGCTTGTGCATGAATGAGCTTGAGAGCAGTAAGACATGGGTGGTATTTTCGGGAATTTCCACACACAAACTCCCAGACGCCATAGACATAGAACTATCTCCTTCACCAAATAACAGCTGTACCAAACAGCTGTGGGGGGATTGGAGGAGAGCTCCACATTTCCCCATTGTGAGTTTAATTGCCTTTGCTTCCCCTAAGGCAGGAGTGACTTGCCACCTAGGTTGGGGGCTTAATTCAGCTCCTGGAGCAATTCCACACACCCCCACACCCCCCTCAATTTTGAAGCAGCAACAAAAATACAGCCATACCTCGGGTTACAGCCGCTTCAGGTTGTGTTTTTTTTGTTTTGTTACGGACGCGCTAACACCCGGAAGTATCGGAACAGGTTACTTCTGGGTTTTGGCGGTTGTGCATGTGCAGAAGTGCTAAATTGCGCTTTGTGCGTGCGCAGAAGCGCTGAATCACAACCCACGCATGTGCAGACGCGGAGCTGTGGGTTGCGAACGCTGCGGGTTGCGAACATGCCTCCTGCACGGATCACGTTCACTACCTGAGCGTCCACTGTAATATAAATTAGGGTTCACAGGCTGGATAGCTCAGTCGGTAGAGCATGAGGCTTGATCCTAGGGTCATGGATTAGAGCCCCACATTAGCTGAAAGGTTCCTGCATCACAGAGGGTTGGACTAGATGACATTTGTGGCCTCTTCCAGCTCTAGAATTCTCTGATTCTATGAGTGCCATCATAGGACTGCAAGTCACCCCCACTGTGGTCATCACATCGATCATTTGATGAACAATAACCCCTCTCTGCTGACCAGAGCCCCTGTTTTGCAGGCAGAATTTTTCTGGCTCATTCCTCACCTACTCCAAGCAAGGCTAGGTGAGACGCCCTATGTGAAAAGCTGGAAAGTGTCTGCCAGGCTAGTGCTGAGCTAGATGGGCCAGTTGTCCCTGACTCAGTATAGCGTGACTTCTGTGTTCCAGAATCGCAGATCTGTAGAATTAGAAGGAACCCCAAGGACCATCTAGTCCACCCCCCTGAAACATAGGAATATTTTTGCCTAAAGTGGGGTTTGAACCCATGACCCTGAGATGAAGAGGCTCATACCAACAGAGCTTCCGCAGGTCCTGTTCTTCCTATAGATCAGCTGAGGACGGGCTTATTGGGGGAAAAGAAATACCTAGCTATGTTTTGAGCTGGTAATGTGCACATAGCCTTAGTTAAAAGCACAACCTGCTGAGAAAGAATCAGTGATTCTTATGTGTAAGGAAAGAGTGCCCTAGGTTTGGAACTATGTATTGTCTCGGTTATCTGCACCATCTATGGACTCCAGTTCCAAAGGAGCCTGCTTCATCCAGATGACAGGTGGTTTGCGTGTAAAAAACACACTGAGCCTCACAGATTTGCAACTGTTGTGTGCCCCCTACTTCCATGAACGATGAGAAGTTTTGGGGGAAGCTCCACATCCTTTGTCTCTTCCCCAAGCTTTCGCTCGCTTCCTGCCTTCCACACTTGTGTGTGCTCTGACACACGCCAGCTTCCTCGGCTGGAACGGCATCACCTTTGCCAGGGCCCCTTGGGTATCTCATTCAAAAACGCGGAGAGAGCCTCAGCTGGCAGGAGACCATCTCTAAACCATGAGCTCTCATTGACGAAACCTCAGCTGGTCGTGTGGGACTATTCACCAGCAATCTGCAAGGCACAAATGTGACAGGTCCAGGCCACAAGTGCCTGCAAGTAAGGAATTGTTTGATGCCACCTCCCTCATACTGATGCCCTCTTGATGTTTCTGACTACAATTCCCATCAACCCAAGCCAGCATGGCGATGGGAGCTGTAGTTGCAGACAAGTAGAGAGCACCAGGATGGGGAAGGCAGGAGTCCTACATGAGCTTGCACACAAGGCTTGACGGTTGACAGGGAGACGGTTTCATCAAACAGCCACACGTCTTACATGAAAATCAAAACTGTTTTCTTCTCTGCCTTCCACTTGTCCCTCTAGGCCTTGCTCAGGGACTGGCGCAACTCCCCAAAGTCTTAAATAAGCTGCCCCTCGGGGGCTCCCTGTACAGCTTCCTTGAACGCTGCTTTGTCTCTGTGACTTGAGTGGAAAATAACAAAAATCTCCAGGGGAATGTAAGGTTTCCATTTCCCCGGGGCTCGGATCTCCAAAGCTGGGTTTCAGCTTCCAAAGAGGTAATCATGTTAATCTGCCGCAGCAGAAACAACAGAGGTTTTTGATGCCTGAAAAGCTAATAGATTAGGTGTGGCAAAGCTGCTGTGGATCTAACTCCACCATTAAGCCAATATAAAATATTGTCCTCAGCTGTGTGTGTGTGTGCAGGCATCCCCCATTTATGTGGGGGCTACGTTCTGGGTCTACAAGCATAAGGAAAATTGGGCAAGTGGGGAGCAGCCTCTGAAAAGCCCCTCAATGCCCATTTCGCCCCCTCCTGCTCTCCAGCTCTCTCCTGCTCTCTCTCTCTCTCTCTCTCTCTGTCTCCCCACAACTCTCTCTTCAACTAGAGTTGAAGCTCTGGGGCCAGCTGGAGGATGCACAGGAAAACAGCTGCTGCACTACTGCACATGTCAGCTGCTAGATGGGGAGGCTGAGTAGCCTAAACAAAGCCTCTCTGCACTTCAGGTCTCTTTGGGGCTTGCTCTGCCCTTACTAAAGTTCTTTTCAGCGTCTGAGGAGGGTCTCCTCTCAAGCCATGAGGACTCTCCAGCTGTCTCCTGCCATTTCCTGGCTTGAATCTATTTCCCGGTGCTGCGTGTATATGTGGTTGCACGTGAGTTAATTGCATGTAAGTGGGGGACGCCTGTGTATAAGAGTTGGATCAGGCCAATGGCTTAACTAGTCTCACATCTTGTTCTCATAGTGACCAATCAGATGCTTCTGTGAAGCCTACAAAGCAGGACATGAGCATAACAGCACTCACATGGAATCACAGAACCATAGAGTTGGAAGGGACCCCAAGGGCCATCTAGACCAACCCCCTGCAATGCAGGAATATCGGCTAAAGCATCCATGACAGATGGCCACCCAACCTTTGCTCCCAACTCTCTCCAACTGTGATTCCCGGCAACTGGCCTTCAGAAGCATCCTGAATGTAGAACATAATTATCATGACTAGTGGCCACTGGTAACCTCATTCCTCTGAAATCTGTCTACTCTTCTAAAGCCATCCAAGCTGGTTTCCATCACTGTTCCTTGTGGGATCAAATCCTACAGTGTGAAGAAGCTAATTCTTTCATCAGTCCTAGAATCATAGAATTGTAGAGCTGGAAGGGACCTGTGGGTCATCTAGACAGGGATGAGCTTCTGAAGCTTCCAATGTGCAGCTTCATTGGATGTCCACCATACAGGTTCTCCACCCCTCTTTGACTTCCTCTTTCATCCCCCTCTTGAGATATTTCTGTGGCAACTACCAAGGTAGGCACCTGAACAGCTCGTCTTGTGGTTGACTCTGAGGACACCTCTTTTTTCAGGCACTCCTTGTCCTAGATTCCAGGTAATCTCTTCTGAAAGAAGTAACTTAATTAACACAACATCGGACTTGGCCAGTTTGGAGCGGCCTGATCCTTTCCATCAACAGCTTCTCATCATCAGCCTTACCTGAAAGATAACCTCTCTTTGCTTGCTCTGCTCTTGGACATCACATGGCTTTTGGGAACAAGGTATTGCCTGTTAATTCAGTGTTACTGAAGGTCATCATACTCCAGTCACCTGTCCCTTACTGGGCTTCCTTTTTGGAGCACCTAGAAAGTGCCTGGACTTATAAAGGTCACGACTGGGACATTTACAATGCAGCACAGGAAACTCCCTATTTACGTATGGCTCAAGGCTTGTGCAACCGTGCATGCATGCATTGCCACAAAAGTGGCACGAAAAGAGGCAAAAACAGCCCTAAAATGGGAAAATGGCACATTTTTGCGAAAATGGCACAAAAACTGCATCTAGCAATCCCACAAGCCTTTGCAAATGCAATCCCATGAACCTTTGAAGCCTGTGTAGACTTGGAATTTGAGCAAGGAGGTTTAGAGGGAGTTTGTGGTGGAGTTTGGAGGATTTTTAAAATAAAATTCAAGGGTTTTTCAAGGGTCTAGAGCAGGGGTAGGCAACCTAAGGCCCGTGGGCCGGATGTGGCCCAATCGCCTTCTCAATCCAGCCCGTGGATGGTCCGGGAATCAGCTTGTTTTTACATGAGAAGAATGTGTGCTTTTATTTAAAATGCATCTCTGGGTTATTTGTGGGGCATAGGAATTTGTTCATCCCCCCCCCCCAAATTATAGTCCAGCCCACCACATGGTCTGAGGGACGGTGGACCGGCCCATGGCTGAAAAAGGTTGCTGACCCCTGGTCTAGAGGGTTTTTGCAGGCTTTTTCAGTGGTGTTCCCGACATACACTATTTCACTTAAACACATGGTGCCTCGGAATGCAACCCCCATGTAAATAGGGAGTTGCCTGTACTAAGCATGTTAACCCATAAGTAGTGCCCACTGCATGCAGGAACACAGAAGCTGTCTTATACACAGTCAGAGACTGGTCCATCTGGCTCAGTATTGCCTACATGCAATGGCACTGGTTCTTCAGGGTTTCCAGCAGGAGATATTCCCAGCCCTACCTAGAGATTCCAGCCTGGATCTAGCCTGCAACCACCCACATAAGAACCTTTTGCAAAAATAAGGGGAAGAGGAGCAAAAGAAGAATGGATATGGAATACAGTGGTACCTTGGTTTACGAACTTACAGTAATCAGTTCCTGAAGTCTGTTCTTAAACCAAAGCATTCTTAAACCAAGGCGTGCTTTCCCATAGCAGCGGGGGACTCATTTTACAAATGGAACACACTCAACAGGAAGCAAAATATGTTCTCATTCCAAGGCAAAGTTCACAAACCAAAACACCGACTTCCGGGTTTGCAGCGTTCTTAATCCAAGTTGTTCATAAACTAAGCTGTTCTTAAACCAAGGTACCACTGTATGCAGAAACTGTGAAACATACAGTACTGGAAAAATAAGAAATCAACAAACTTTTTATAAAAAAGAATGGAAATGGTTTATTGCATATTTACAAACAGATTGTGAACAGATAAGAACATTGGCAGGATTATTGTAATAATATGCAGTTTTACACGAGTATATATTTAAAGTAGATGAATAAATGAGCAAATTAAGTTGATTTGGATATGCAGAAAATATTAAAAATAAATTTAAGGAACCGCAGAAAGAGGGGGAAGGAAGTCAAGTTTTGAAATGTTAAAATGATTGTAAAATCACTGAAATGTATAAAACTGAAAATCATAAATAAAAACTTAAAAACAACAACAACATACTATATACACACAGAGAAGGGGCAAGGAGCAAGCAATTTGGGGCCTGTTGCAGCTTTTCCCTCTTTGATTTTCTTGAAATTGACGGAAATAATTCAGAGACCTGCTTTGCTCTCTGCTGCCCTCCCTGTGCAAACAGTTTGTTTAGGCTGACACTTTAGGTTCGAACAGCCCTGGAAATGCATTACACCAAGGATGATTGATTGCTTATACAGTGGTCTCCAGGGAGCATCACCAAATGGCCCAGCACAAATGAATCACATCACCGAAGCCTCGTATATTCATATGGAGTCAGTGCATCCCAGTGGCTGCATCAAAGCTATTCATAGCCCACGATGTGAGGGCAATGGCAGTGACTGAACATGTTCAATGGGCCAGAGGACTCTTATGCAAATCGAATGAAGAGATCACAGACATTTGGGCACCCTTTCTGACACATATGCCAACACTCATCAGCAGATGGATTTCTTCAAAACCAAACACCGCGAGTGTATACTTGGATGACAAAGACACAATAATAACAGCTGGCATTTGTACTAGAGATGGAGAAAATCGATTTCGCGTTTAAACCCGAACTTCTCAAATCCGCTCTTTCTGAAACAAGATGAGAATCTAAACACAGCTAGCCTTTGAAAGCCGCGTATCCGAATTTTGCGATGCAGTTCTCCTGCCAGTGTTTTCAAAAACACATCTATTTGGGGAAAGTGTGATTTTAAAAAGTAATATAACTTGCTAAAATGCATTATATTGGGATTATATTGCTTGTACAAATTTGTACATTTGTCAAAGCTGTGTACAAAATTTACGAGGAGAAATTTGCGCTAACATGCTGGTGAATTTTCATGAGGGTTTTTTAAATAAATGCAGATTCCTACACAAACTGAATTTAAGACTGAAAAGAATGTGAAACTGAGAGAATTGAAAATGACAGCTCCTTCCATCCTTATTTATACCTACCATAAAAGGGGAGTTGTAAGATACTGCTACGTGCTCTGTGTGGACAAGAGGAGACAAGTGGCGTAAACACCCCTAGTGTGCTACAGATCAAGGCCTTTCCAATATGGTGCCCTGCAGATGTTGCTGGACTCCAACTCCCATCAGCCCCAGTAGCAATGGCCCTTTGTTTGTGTAGTCCATTGACATCCTCGCAGCAGATCCACTACCCTGCATCTCCAGAGACAGTCACTCTGAACCCTAATATTTCCATGGAATTGGGGAGAGGCATCCCTTTTTATCCACGGCTATTAGCCATGTTGGGGGGCGTGGGTGGCGCTGTGGTCTAAACCACTGAGCCTCTTGGGCTTGCTGATCAGAAGGTCGGCGGTTTGAATCCCTGCGATGGAGTGAGCTCCCGTTGCTCGGTCCCAGCTCCTGCCAACCAACAGTTCGAAAGCATGCCAAAAAGTGCAAGTAGATAAATAGGTACCACTCTGGTGGGAAGGTAAATGGAGTTTCCATGCACCGCTCTCTGGTTTCCATCATGGTTGCGCCAGAAGCAGCTGGCCACATGACCCAGAAAAACTGTCTGTGGTCAAATGCCAGCTCCCTCGGCCTGTAAAGTGAGATGAACGCCGCAACCCCAGAGTCATCTGTGACTGGACTTAACTGTCAGGAGTCCTTTACCTTTACCGTTAACTTATTAGCCATGATGGCTATGAACTACTTCCAGTGAATACCAGTTGTTGGGGTTGACAAACTATTGCTGCCATGATCCTGCTTGCAGACTTCCTGTAGACATCTGGTTGGTCCCTATGAGAACAGGATACTCAACTAAAGGGGCTTTTTGGCCTGATGGGGCAGGCTGTTCTTACGTTCTTATGCAATGTGAACATGCAATCAGATTATTAAAAAAAGGAAACCTGAGGCTCCTTTTCCATCCACAGTCTTCAATCCGTAAAAGCTCCTAAAAAGGTAAAGGGATCCCTGACCATTAGGTCCAGTTGTGACCGACTCGGGGGTTGCGGCGCTCATCTTGCTTTATTGGCCGAGGGAGCCGGCGTACAGCTTCTGGGTCATGTGGCCAGCATGACTAAGCCTCTTCTGGCGAACCAGAGCAGCACAAGTAAACACCGTTTACCTTCCCACCGGAGTGGTACCTATTTATCTACTTGCACTTTGACGTGCTTTCGAACTGCTAGGTTGGCAGGAGCAGGGACCGAGCAACGGGAGCTCACCCCATCGCAGGGATTCGAACCACTGACCTTCTGATCGGCAAGTCCTAGGCTCTGTGGTTTAACCCACAGCGCCACCCATGTCCCTGTAAACGCTCCTAGTAGGGTGTAAATTCCACTGAACACGGTGGGGCTTATTTCTGAGCAACTGTGCTCAGGATGGCACAGCGAGTATCTAATGCCATTTGGCAGGTTGCAGCCAATATGCTCTGGAAATGTAAGAAACTCTTTGCGTCTGTTTTTTGAAAGCTTACTCAAAAGCGTAAGAACAAAAGGTACTGTGAGTCAGTCAACGGCAGCCTTCTCTGTGCTTCTGTTATCATGAGAAGAGACCTGCTGGATCAGTCCCAAAACCCATCAACTCCAGAACTCTGCTCTCACAGTGGACAACCAAATGTCTATGGGAAGTCTCGTTTTCATTTCGTTTCTTATATTTCTACACCTCTTTTCACTCCCTTGAGTCACAAAGCGGCTTACACACAATAAATAACAACAGAACAGAACATCACAGTTACAACATAGATCATATAAAATAATGATCAAATCATCAGTAAAACAACCACCACAAAACAAAAAGGCTAAACAGCACAACCACAAGAAAAATCATATTATCAAATTCACAAAGCATCGCAGCACTCTACAAAACAACATTAACAATATTAACAAACTAACAACCAAAAATAAACTAAGCACTGCTGAATTCATACACACCCTCTCGCCACCCCCATGACTCATAGTCTTTTACTCAGTTCATCAAAAGACACATTCACATGGAGTCTTTCACCCAACATGGGGCTCAAACCCATGACGCTGAGATGAAGAGTCTCGTGCTCTACTGATGGAGCTATGGAGCTAAATCAGCTATGGTCTGATTCAATATCAGCCATGCAGCACACTGTCCTTTTAAATCACATTCAAAGCGCATGCTTTCCCTCAAAGAATTCTGGGAACTGGAGTTTACCCCTCATAGAGTTACAATTCCCAGCAACCCTTTAAAAACTACAATGCCAGAACTCTTTTGAACAGTAAGCACCGATCAGTAACAGAATAGGCTGCTGGGGCAGATTGCGACTGTAAGGAGAAAGGCTTGCGACAGGCACTATCTATTGGGGATAATGTGTCTTGTCGCCTTCGGGGAGTTGATGGGATTAGAGAGCCTAATGGGCTGTGCTCCAGCAGCGCTGTCATTCTTATGAGCTTGTGATCTTCTGTTTTGTGTTTTTATGAGGCTTGTCAATACAGCGAGCTGGATGAGAAAAGCGATTCCATCAACACTATGTGTACTTGACCTTGGGCAAGATGGCTCAGCAAAATGTTAATTAGTTCTTGCATAAAACTAATTCCGCCTTAAATCACAGACTGGCTTCATTAGGGGATGGAAAGACTTAACGAGGAACGGGGACGGCTGTGAGCCACATGCGACCTCGTTTCCCGTGGCTCAAGGAGTCTCGTTAGAATCCTGAAAGTCTCGACACATCCTCCCAATAGATAATAATGGTTTTAAAAGGGTTTTAGCCCCCCATGGCTTCACAAATAGTTTAGTAACGTGATGGACCAAGAGGTAAAAAGACTTAGCAGCCAGAAAGCCAAGTTGTTTTTTCCAAATGTAAGCCCCTCAGGGCGGGGGCCTGTCATGCTGTTCCTCTTTAAAGCACTTGTACACATTGGTGGTGCTATATAAACAGTAAATAAACATAATAAACAACAAATAAAAATATCTGATGAATTGGCATTTGATTTCGACACCTGCATCTCAAAAGTTGATATAGTACAATGAAAGCAAGGAGAACTGCAACACGTATTTGGGAGTGGGGTAATTGGGTGGTTTTTGTTTTTATTCTTAGTATGTATTTTGTGTTTTTATATTGCGATTTTATGCTGTAAACACCCTGAGACCTGTGGGTATAAGGCGGTATGCAAATTTTAATAATAATAATAATAATAATAATAATAATAATAATAATAGCAGCAGGCTCTGCTGAACCCCCTGGACTTATATATGCAGTGGGGCATCAATGGGGAACGTGTGGCCCTGCAGATGTTTCCAGGCTACAGCTTTCTTGCTATGTTATGCATTTTTGTGTTTTTATATTGCAAACTGCCCTGTGATCCTCGGAGGGAGGGTGGTATAGAAATTTAATAAATACATAAATACATTTTTAAAAATTAGCCATGCTGGATGCACATGATGGGGGTTTGAGTCCAAATGTTCTGGTCCCCTGCTTGGACTCCATATAAGGCATCTTCCTATTTTCCTAACCCCTGGCTTTAGCAAGGCTGCAATGTAAGCTACTGCTTTTGTCACTAGCATCTGTTGCTTAGACCACTTTCCCCCTCTGCACCTGCCCCCCTGCCTACCACTGGAATATGCCCTGAATGAGGGCATGTGGCTTCCTGGCTGAAAAATATATTTCCCCCCACCCCTAAGTAGACCGAGGTTATGGAATCCTGAATGGTACCACTTCAAAGGGGAGAGAGAGGGTGGGGAGAGGTGTTTGACTAGGTCTACCCCAGTGGTAGCTGGTGCTCATTGTGACTGGCAGGGTGGAAAGCAGGAAGCCAACAGTAGGTGGAGCCAGAGCCAGCTGATAGGCAGAGCCAAAGGATTACAGTGGTACCTTAGTTCTCAAATGCCTTGGTACTCAAACGCCTTGGTTCTCAAATGCCGAAAACCCAGAAGTAAGTGTTCCGGTTTCCAAACGTTTTTCGGAAACCGAATGTCCGATGTGGCTGTCAGCTATTGTTTGCCAGGCACCTTCAAAGCTGCGCTTTGGTTTTCGAAGATTTCAGAAGTCAAATGGACTTCCGGAATGGATTAAGTTTGGCGCTTTTGTTTTTGCTATTTATTTCACGTTTTTGTGGCTTTTTCGGTTAATTTGTTTTTGTGACTGTGTGGAACCCAATTCAGCTACTGATTGATTGATTGTGTGACTGCGGAAATGAATAAAAGCCCCCCCACAATGACTAACATCAGTGCAGGTAAAAAAAAGACAATACTGTCTTATTTATTTTATAGTACAGTACATTGTTTATTGCTTTCATTTTATGGGTCAATGGTCTTGTTAGATAGTAAAATTCATGTTAAATTGCTGTTTTAGGGGTTGTTTTTAAAAGTCTGGAGCAGATTAATCTGTTTTGCATTACTTTCTATGGAAAAGTGCGCCTTGGTTTTGGAGCACTTTGGTTTTGGAACGGACTTCTGTAATGGATTAAGTTTGAGAACCAAGGTACCACTGTAATACTGTAATACTGTAATACAAGGTACCAAGGTACAAGGTACCAAGGTACTGTAATACAAGGTATTAATACTGTAATACAAGGTACTGTAATACTGTAATATTGTAATACAAGGCACCACTGTCCCCTGCTCTTTTCTGTTGTTTTCTACAAGGGCTGAGACTGAGGACTGGTTGTCAGTAGGAAGGAAGGCAGAGGTTGTTGACGGCAGTGCCCCAGTTGTCTTGATGGACCATCTCCCACTGGTCTATCCTCCATCCATTTGGCCAACCCCCTTTAAAAATAAGTTGTGCTGTAGCAAAGGTACCATCAGGGCAGGACTTTCAGCCAGATGTCCAGCAGAATGAGGAGGAAGGCGCCCCAACTCCATTAATCTGGGATAGTTCAGACAGTAGAGCACGAGACTCTTAATCTCAGGGTCATGGGTTTCAGCCCCATGCTGGGCAAAAGATTCCTGTGTTGCAGAGGGTTGGACTAGATGACCCTCATGGTCCCTTTCGACCCTACGATTCTATCGCCAAAGGGCTGGTTTGCTACATTTGGGAAGGAATGAAGCAACATCACCACCACTACTTCAAAAAGATGTCTTCTTCCCATCAAGCCCATCAAGCCCAGAGACTAAAAATACCTAAGCACTCCACTGCAGCCAGTGCCCATCACATTGTAGTCATGCGACCCCTCGTTCTCTAAGCTAGTTATGTTCTCTGTTAAAGAAGCCCTTTCTTTTGCTGCTGGTTCTAATCATCCTGACTTTGTTTCCTTTGAGAGAGTGAATGTTTTTTTTATTCTCTCTCCCCCCTGCCCTTGTGATCACAGAGAGCTGGATCTTGCTGCTCATAGCATAGACCTTCCCCCCCACTCTAGTCTACAGCTTTGTGCATTTACCGGTGCAATCCTGCAAAAACCACCAGTGGAAGCCACCAACCGCAACAGGGTTTTAATTTTCCCAAGCCCTGCAGGCTCTTTAGCTGCAGGGCGCCTCCAGACTGTCAGACCAGAACATTAGGTTTGCACAGTTAAAAGTGGATTAAAGCACTCTGTTGCTTTGGAGAAATAAATCAGCTTCTTTCTCTTCTTTTCAATGGACCTTCTGCAGGTTGGAAAGTGACATGGAAACGCCTTGAAAAGGGTGGGATGATTGAATGAGAAAGGAAGGCGTGCAATCTCTCTGCAAACGAATCAGGGTAATAAATAAAGATCAGACTCTGGCTGCATTCACATAGCAGGTTATTCCATTTTGCTGATGTTTCCCTGTTAATTCTGTGTTACAGTTTAGCCTCCACACAACATAAAAGACACTTCCATAAATATAGCAGGATGTAGCACAAGTTGGGAGCTCCTTTCCATGTTATTTGCTTCCAGAATATTTGCACATAACACTGAAATGAGCCTGCCTCTATCTCTGCCTGCCTTTGCACCTCTCTCATAATATTGCTTCCTTTCTGCCTCTCCACAGGGTGTGCAAGACCTGGATTCTCCTGACTCTCCCAGCCCTTGTCTCAAGCTTCTCTTATTGGCCTCCTTCTTCATGGACGTAAGACTTTCCACTGTCCAGATTTGCCTCACCAATCCAGTCTAGGCTTTGCTCTCAGCTGCACTTTTCCGTTTAGAAAAATAGCAAGAGAAAGCCATGATAGAAGTCTACAGAATCAGGCACCATGTGGAGAAAATGGATTATAATACCAGAACTTGGGGCCGTCCAATGAAGTTGAATGTTGGACAATTTGGAACAGATAAAAGAAAGTATTTCTTCACACCGCATAGAGTTAAAATTTGGAATTTTCTGCCACAAGAGGTGGTGATGGACACTGGCTTGGATGGCTTGAAGGAAGAACTAAATTCATGGAAGTTAAGACTATTAAGGGCTGACATCCGGAATTCAGAACTGGATACCAGCAATTGCAGGAGGAGGAGGAGGAGGAGGCGGAGAAGAAGAAGAAGAAGAAGAAGAAGAAGAAGAAGAAGAGTAGTAGTAGTAGTAGTAGTAGTAGTAGTTTGGATTTGATATCCTGCTTTATCACTACCCAAAGGAGTCTCAAAGCTAACCATCTCCTTTCCCTTCCTCCCCCACAACAAACACTCTGTGAGGTGAGTGAGGCTGAGAGACTTCAGAGAAGTGTGACTAGCCCAAGGTCACCCAGCAGCTGCATGTGGAGGAGCGGAGACGCGAACCCGGTTCCTCAGATTACGAGTCTACCGCTCTTAACCACTACACCACACTGGAGGCGAGAGGTGCTGTTGCATTCAGGTACAGCTTGTGGACTTCATATGGGCATCTGGTTGACCACAGTGAGAACAGGATGCTGAACTAGATGGGCCCCTGGCCTGATCCTGCAGCACCCTTCTTTTCTTCTTTCTCTATTGCGGACCCCTTCCCCTTTCATGCTGCCGCAATGTGAGAAAAAGAGAGCACTGGGCCTCCAGCCACCCTGCTGTTTAACACTCCCAGTCCACCTTGCTTCCTTTCAGTCCAGCTGGAAGCATCACAACATTAAAAAAATGGCACCAGTCACACCCTGCTGGCTCTCACACTTTTTGTGCTGCTGATGTACCTGGATACGGTAATGGAGAATTGCGTTCCTTTCCCCTGTTAACGTTGACCTTGCACTTGCTTGTATTATTTCATCCTAATATTAAATTTGATTTATTCACTTTGCCTTACGTACTTGTTTTCAGTTGTGCCATGCGTTTTTGAAGGGTTTTTTTTTAAAAAAATCACAAATAAATAAAAAGTAGCTGATGTCTCTTGTGAACTGCTTTGGACACTGGGAGAAAGTGGCATATCCATTAAACGAATAAAGGCTTTAAAAAGTTATTTGCCCCCCCCCCAACCTTCTAAGCTAGTGGCTACTATTACATCTTGTCTGGGGGTGAGGGAAGAAGAGGAGGTGTGATTTTGGGAGCTGGGAACTTGTGTGTGTGTGTGTGAACCACATGGAGGATTCCTGGGTTCTCTTTCCTAAGGGTCCTGGGATGGAGCACGTGGGGCGGTAAGAAGCAAGTCCAAGGTCTGAGGTTTCAACCTCCTCCTTCCGCGATCCTCCTCTCACTTTCCACTGGCCCCTCCCTCCCCACGTGGAACGAGAGGGGGGAGGAAGAGAGGGGGAAAAACACCCGCCAGCCCCGCATCTTCACGCCAGTCTTAGCGCTTCTCCCTCCCAGCTGGGCTGTGCCGCATTCGCTCTTGGCTACGGATCGGACCCGCGAAGAGGAGCAGCTGCGTCACCGCATCGACCACCACCACCACCATGGCTACCCCCCCGACGCCCCTGCATGGTGAGATTCGCCCCCCTCCCACCTCCGGGGGAGACGGGGCAAGGACTGGGTGAGGGGGGCTTCCGAGCGGGGCACCCCACAAGCTCATCTAGTCCAGCCCCCCGCTTTGCCCAAGATTAGATATTGCGGGGCAGGAGGAAGCCTTCTTGGAAATCAGAGGCAATGAGTTTTCTGGGTCGGGGGGTAGTTTAGGTATTTGCCCGCCACATTACTATTTTTTGAGATAGCCCGAGTTTTAGCCACCCGCTTCCTTCCAGAAGCAGAGAAAAATTGGAGAAGTGGGGCGCTGATGGGAGACCCCGCACAAAACCCACTCCTTTGCGCCTGCAAAAAAGGAAGCCCCGCTTGGTTCAAACGAAACTCGCTTCTCCGGGCAAAAATGAACCGGCAGATTTCCTTTGAAGGAGCCGGGAATCCGGAGCTGCTGCTCCTGCTCCGGAATCGCTCCGGAGTCGCTCCGGAGCAGACGAAAGAACTTCCGATTTGGGTGTCGAAAACTGCGCTAACCCTGGCTGCACTGAACTGCCCCGCTCCCTCCTTTCCCTGCAATTCCTTACATCAGGAGGGAGGAGGATATGTGTGTGTGTGTGTGTGTGTGTGTGTGTGTGTGTGTGTGTTGCGGGGTGGAGTGGGGCGGCAGCGCTTGTGCTTCTGCAACTTTGAGGCACCGGGGAGCAGCTGCGATGGGGAGACGGTCCCGCGGGGGCTGCAGGACCATCCCCAGGAAACCTTGGCTGGGGCTGTTGGCAGTTTGTTGTGAGCCGGCAGGTGCTCCGTGTGCGAGCGAGCACCTTTTGCCCTGGCATTTCTCAATGTGTGGCTGTTGCTTAACTGGAGACTGCAGAGGCAGGTGTGAAGCTGTTGCCTTCCTGCTTGCTTGCTTCCTTCCTTCCTCGCCTCCCCTCCTCTTCTCTCCCCCCCCCCCGCAGAATTCCCCCGGGAGGAGTCGCTGCAGGGGCTAAATGTGTGGGCTCTGTGTGTGTGTGTTTGCAGTCACATAGCATGTTGCCCAGCTCACTGCAGTCCTGGGAAGCCTGAAGTCATCAGCTTCTGCAGCTGCTGTTTGACTGACAGCACGGGGAGGACCAGGATGCTGCCCAGCGGCCTCTGTGCATCAAGGGGGTTGGATGCTTGGATGGAATGTGCAACTTTGCAGAAGCAGGGATGCTGCGGTTGTTTTGATGGCGGGGGTTGGCAGCGGGGTGGGAGAGGGAGAGTTTGTGCAGAGCTCTGAATGCCCAGTCAGTTGTGCTTGTGTGCTGCGTACACAGTGTACATGCCCTGTTTACTTTTCCCGGCTTCGACAGTGTTGAGAGTTGCTTGTGGTGCAGAGGAGTGTGTGTGTCTGTGAGTGAGTGAGTGAGTGAGTGAGTGAGAGATTGATTCTTTGCAGAAATTGTTCTAGATGATATCACTCACATCTATGATGCTTCGTATCATGTCAGACTGTTTGTCCACCCAGTCCAGTAAACTGACCAGCAGCAGATCTCAAAGATCTAAGACAGAGGGTCCCCTGCCCCACTGTCTGACCCTTTTAAACTGGTAATATTGGAATCTGAACTCAGGACCTTCTGAATGCAAAGCATTGGCTCCCTGCCTGAACTTTGGCCCCTCCAGCCACACACGCTAAGAATCCCCTCCTAGGACACAATGCCAAACCGTGGTTAGAGAACCTTTGCCATAGTTTCCCGTGAAACCCACACAGAGAAACTGTGTTGCATGGACCAGAATCAGAAACCATGGTTTGTAATGGGTTTTCAAACTACGATTTGCAGTAATGGATCTGAATGGATGAATTGCAGTTACAGTTGCTGTTCCACCTCCAAGGGCTGGTACACCCAGAAAAGAGAGTGCTGAGCAGACAGAAAAAGGAAAGCAAGCGAGCCACTCTGAACCACGGTTTGCCTGCTGCACGTTTGAAAACACAAGCTGGTTGGGGATCTAAACGATGGCTGGTGCAAACCATGGTTTGGCATGAAGTCTGAAGAGACACAGCCTTCTTGACATCTCACTCTCCCTAATTTACATCTATTACATTAATGTGCCTGGATAGCTCATTTAAATGGAGTATCTCCTCTATATAAAAGTTGTCTCAGTTAGGATGCGATTGTAGACAGGAGCAAAAACAGATGCTGTATCCTCTTGGCTTATTTGTATAAATGATGTTGTCCTGGGTGTGTTAGGGTGAATGCTTGAGCTGATTCTATGAATGCCATGTTACCATTGTGTGTGTGAAGTTTCAGGCTAGGTGCAGATGGTGTGATTGTGTGTGTATGCTGTACCATCTGCTAGTTTTGTGTGTGTGCATGAATGGCATTTTCTCCTGGGTGTGTATGTTGTATTGAGTGGGTGTTTGCAAGAGGGCGAGATCTGCGATTCTGTGCATTTGAGTGCATGGCCATGGTATCTAGTTTGTCCCGTACATTTGGGGCCTGGTAGTGATGGATGTTCCTAGTTCCCATGAGGAATCAGGAAAGCACTTGGCAGGTAAACATACATAGGAGTTAGGTGCTAAGGATGAGACAACAATTGACAATAGGGGCATGAATACATTCCACCTCCCCAGGAAACACCCCACACCAAACACTCCATATGTCTGCCAGCCATGCTGTCACCTAGTGGTCACACATATGGTATTACATGTGCTGTGTGTGTACATGCATAAGGTTCTTCTACTCAATTGAGTAGGGGGTAGTAATAATAATAATAACAACAAATATTTTCTGGGTTGCCCCAGCCACCCCGGGCAGCTTCCAACACATAGAAAAATATAATAAAACCTTAAACCTTCACAACCTCCCTATACAGGGCTGCCTTCAGGTGTCTTCTAAATGTTGTATAGGGTTGGAGCACCCTTAAGGAAACCTACAAGCCCCACTGCTGACTTCCTCCAATTTCAGCTAAATCATACCCCCTCAATATATTTCTAAAAACAGAAGCTGAAATGGCCGTCGAAAAGGCTAAGGGGGACAGACTCTCTCCCTGCAATTGAAGCACTGCCTATTTTTGGATGATATGCCTGGATTTCTGGTTCTCCAGTTTTAGGACTCCCTTCCCTGATTCTTTTCATTACCAATCCTCTTGGTTTTAAAACAAGAAAATGTTACCAGTACGTATCTTGTTTTATTGGTCTTAAGGCTTGCAACTGGATCAATGCAGTAGGCAGAGTCTATGGGGAATAGTTACTTCCATCCTCTGCAAAAAACAACAACCCCCTGTATATACATTCCGCCCCCTGCAAATGTGAATAGTTATTCTGGAATATTTTACGGGCTGTGTTTTAAATATTAAATTATGGTTTGTGCTGAGTATTATCTGGCTCCCTAATCAAATCTAAGCTCTTTTCATTTGCTTGATCCAGTTTGTAGCTGTCAAGGCTGTTGCAGCTGTGGACATGCGCGGTTCGTAGTGATGTTGAATGCTCAGCCATTGGGGTGACAGGCTGGTGGGGTCAAGAGCACAGTATCTCTCCTTCTCCTTCTCCATTTAACATGGGGGGATGTGCATAGAGCTAACTTAGAATGTGTAGATTGTTGCTGGAGGGTCTCTGTAGCCCTTGGGGAAGGACCGTATCTAAGTGGTAGAGGATCTGCTTCAAATGCAGGAGGTTCCAGTTTCAGTCCCCAGTATTTCCAGGTACAAGAGATTCCCTGATTGAAATCCTGGAGAGATGCTGCCAGTCAGTGTAGACCAGGGGTAGGCAACCTAAGGCCCGTGGGCTGGATGTGGCCCAATCGCCTTCTCAATCCAGCCCAAGGATGGTCCGGGAATCAGCGTGTTTTTACATGAGTAGAATGTGTCCTTTGATTTAAAATGCATCTCTGGGTTATTTGTGGGGTCTGCCTGGTGTTTTTACATAAGTAGAATGTGTGCTTTTATTTAAAATGCATGTCTGGGTTATTTATGGGGCATAGGAATTTGTTCATTCCCCCCCCCCAATATAGTCCGGCCCACCACATGGTCTGGGGGATGGTGGACCGGCCCACGGCTGAAAAAGGTTGCTGACCCCTGAGCTAGACAGACCAGTGGCCTCACTCTGCAGAAGGCAGCTTCCTATTCCCCTCCCCCTCCATGTGAACCAACAACTAGGGTACCTGCAGTTTCATAAATGGGATGTTCGCCAGGTACGAAGCAAGGGAACAAGCCTCTGTTACACATAATGCTCAAAATGTGTGTGACCATCTCCCGTTTGAAGTGTGGTTGTAATACACTCGGGAAATATGACCCTGTGGCAGGATATATTGGTGAATAAGGTATTGCTTGGGAGGGACTTTTGGACCAGCCACCAGTCTGCAGGCATTCTAGGAAAGGTGTACGTCTGTTTACTAGGGAAGGCGAGCGTACAGGGTGTGCTTTTGTGTGTGTTCGTGCATGCATGCATGCATCCAGCAGTCTGCAACAGTTCCCCTCCTCCTCATCGTGATGGAACTGCCCTCTCTGCCCAGGCCAAGGTGATGTGCTTTCCTGCACGCAGGCTGGGAAGTTGGAGGGAGTCAGGAAAGGTTATTGTTTGCTATATGCATCGATCCCAGCCACAGAAGGTTATGCGCCTGCTTAGTAACTCAGCTGCTCAGGGCCATTTGCAGTGGCAAACTTAAGTTTGTGTAGTCCGCAGCAGTCAACAGGGAGAGCCAGACAATCGCAGCTCCTTGCCAAGCGTGCTTGCATGATGCGAAATTTTGTTGCATTCAGTGCTGGATTTATGTATATGCTAAACAAGCTATAGCCCAAAAAAAAATTAAAGAAAAAACAACTGGATGTACATTTCCAAAATATGAGATAAAAAACAAGTAAAATAAAACCTACATACAGCAACAGTGTTTTGTGTAGGCTCCTAGCTTGGTTTGCTCATTTCTATATCAATTACTTTGATAAAATACATATTTTGTTATGTGCAAATACCTTTAGATACCTATTAGGTCCATAAATCACCATATAGCATATATGCAACACAAGAAACAGCGACAATTTGTTGTTGACAAAGGACAGCTGGACATATAAAGGGCCCCATTACCTTCAGTAGCTCAGGGCGTCATCAAACCTAAATCCAGCCCTGGTTGCATTCATTCTTTAGATATTTAGGTGTACGCTTAAAGCAATTTGCTCAGGGCTAAAATAAATGTACCGGGCACAGTAGTCCCTAAACGGCTTGTGATAAGCACCTACCAGATTCCTGAATGTGAGCACTGGCTGTTAGTTACTTACCTGCACATCTGTTTGCATTTTTCATGTATGCCCTGCGAGAAGTGTGGTTGCTGTTTGTCTATTGGTAAAGTCCTCTCCCCACTCCCCACCCCAAACCAGTGAGTTAAATAAATACTGTATCCCCTTTTGGAACTCTTGCATTCCCAGGCTACCTATCCTTTGAAAATCACTTGTGTAACGTTTGAGAAAGCCTTTCCCCTCTCAGCCTCTAGGAGGAAGCTTCCCTTGGCAAGTTTGGACAGCTGCAAAACCGTACAGCCATAGATTTACCCACATATTTGTTTGTTTGTTTGATAGATGATAGATAGATAGATATAGATAGATAGATATACTTCCCTTCATCGAAAGATCTCAGGGCAGCTCACAAGATAACAATACAAGATAAGAGCACAAAGAAATAGTTAAAACAGAAGCAACGAAACAACTTAGCCAGATGGGTGGGGAATAAATAATATAATCGTCATCATCATCATCTTTATTAATAACCCCACCTTGCTCAAAAACATTTAAAAGGCTGCAGAATATTACTCAGCCAAAGGCCTGGTTGAAGAGGAATGTTTTCGCCTGGTGCCTTAAAATATACGGTATATAATGAAGATGCCTCATCAACCTCCCTGGGGAGAGCATTCCACAAACGGGGAGCCGCTGCAGAAAAGGCCAATTCTTGTGTTGTTGCCAGCCTCAGAACCTCTCATAGAGGAGGTACACGAAAAAGGGCCTCAGATGTACTAGGGAAAACAGGTAGGAAGTAAATTCCATGTGAATTCAGATACCCACGGGTGCACTAACCTCCTTGGTTTTTAACCCAAGTTACTGAATGTGGAAACATTTAGGCTGCATTCCTGGGCCCACTTACCTGGGAGTTGAACTCAGTGGGGTTTATTTCTGATTATAGGCTTGGAATGTGTAGGGCTGAACTGCTAGGTTTGTTTCTGCGGTCAGCAATAGCCACTGAACACATAATTTGAATTTGGGTGGATGGAGGGCATTCTTAGCCACCTTGATTTTGTGGTCAAACAGAGTGGTTTAAAGGATATTAAGGATTTCAGAAAATTGTGGTAGTTGATCATGAGGACATGTCTTGTGACACCAACAGAGACTTCCTCTGATATTTCTGCTGCTATTTTTCACCAGCAGAGAAACCTAAGAGCTGTCACTTATGTGTAGTGCTGGATGTTTGCATATTCATGAGAAGCGGTTGCTATTTGTGACCGATGGGGAATTATTTGAGGTGAAAAGCTCCATTGTTTGCTGAAAGGTTCCTGACAAATAGAGGGACCTTTTGGACAAGTGCGCAATTTTTTAAATGTGTGACAGAACTCTTCAATTTGCCTGCTGAAGAGTTCTGTGTCACCTTGAAGCATGAGTCCTCCTATGCCACTAGAGCCCAATCCCCCCAAATCTGTTCCTTAGCTGATCCTCTCCAGAACCTATCCAGTAACAACTGGCTGTCTTGCTCATACCATGATAAATGAGACAGTTCCTCCATCAAAGCTCTTGCCTGCCTATCCACAATTTTAAGGAGATACTACTTTGCAGAATATTGGTGACTCATAATTAATGTATTACTTCTCATTTGAAGTATTTTACAGTCCTTATCTCACTGAGCCTCATAAGAAGCCTGTAGGCTCCTGCTTTATTACTTCCACGTCAGAGCTGGAGAAGTCAAGTTAAACCATAGTGAGTTGTCTAGGACCACCCTCTGAGCCCATTGACGACTTCGCATTAGAGTAACAGATGAAATGAAATTCACACAAATTTGGAATTCATTAACACCTCTGTATTCAGATTTGATTTTTTTAAAAAGTTCAGACGATCCAGTTTTGCTTCTGAAATTCAAATGATTATGGCATTTAAAAAACATGAGCTAATTTTTGTAGGTGAGTTTTAAGGCAATATTAAGTATTCTTGCTAAAGTCAACATCTCTGCACCTTAAAAACTAAGTATCCAACAGTCTCCATAGCTGGGTGTAGTGAAAAACAATCCGATGGGCAGGTTTTATAAACAAATTCAGATTAGAATCTGCTGGAGACTAAAGTCCTCTCTGACATTTGTTTCTGCTCTACAACGAACCTTTAAACAGTATTTGCAATAGCAACAATAATAAGACTCATCATCGTCACCCAAAGCTAGTTCCTATGCACAGGATAGACTTGTGATCAGAGCTTAATTTTTAAAGAGGGGCCAGACTAAAATATGGACTACACATGTAAACTGGTTTCAAGCCTGCTTAGCTGTCATGATTACCAACCAATAACTCTGGAACTATAATGTGAAGATGCGCTGGGGCCCCTAAAAGGGGGTTCTTTGCACACTCACAAAACTGCAATTCCCAGAATCCTTGGGGGAAGCTACATTAGTTACTGCTCAGTTTAGATTTGTAGTGTACAAATTGTGTCTGAAATCATACCACGACCCCGCCAACTTGGAACTCTTCTACTTAAGCCTAGGTGGCAGGCTGAGTCACTGATGAGGGAAAGGCACTCTGCACATGCTTAGGGCCACTGATCTTAATTGCGTTTCTAGGGCCGAGCTCTGGCATTCTGAGAACAGGCTCTGTGACTTAATTACTGGAGCCGTCTAGCCCAGAATGAAACTGCTTGTGGTCAACGCACCACTAATGCTTATCCTATCAGAGCAGATATTGTTGCCTATTAAGAGTTCCTGCCTCAGGCAGTTTTCAGATGCAGAATTACCTTTCCAAATGCTCACAGTCCTTAACCTACCACCGGCATTATCCTGGACCCCTGCCCAACAAGAATCTGCCAGCCAAAGAAATGCTGTTTTACTTCAAGGACTTCTGAGGGGCTGGCCTGGAGCCACAAACACCCCACCTCCACCTTCCAACCTCGAATCCCAAATTCTGAACAGGGTCAGCACTTTAAACAGAATTCCTAGGCATCTTCAGCACTGCAGAGCACCAGCCTCATAGGCTGCTTTGATTTTGGTGGGCAGGCGAGGACATCCACGGTCTGATTGTGGCAGGAGGTGTTGTGGGGAGAAGGAGAGAGAGAGAAAGAAATGCTTCTCCATTTAATAAGCATCTCTGGGAAGCGCCTCTCCCTTTATCTATGCGGCTGCCCTGGTTATTGCTGTCTGCAGGGTGTTTCCCTGGCCGGCTTCCAGAACTTTCTGGGAAACCTGCTGACTCAGCGGTGGGGGAGCTTGACCCACACGCCAGCCTCCTGTCTGGCCCCCTGGATTCCTGGACAGGCCGCAGGGGCTACAGGAGGGGCAGAGGGAAGCAGGAAGGGTGAGAGATGGGACTTTTGGGAGCGCAAGAGGGGATCTGAGGACACGGGTGGTCGTTTTCATTCGCCAGCCCTCCACTGGCAGGGCAGTTGTGGGTTTAAAAAAACGAGGGGTGCTTGTTTCGTGGTGGGGAGCAGGAGGAGCCCCAGCCAGGAAAGTTTCCTGTCGACAGCTGGCAAGGCGCCAGCTGCGTGGCTCCCCAAGCGAGCATCCTGTCTCCTCAGCTGCCCCCTCCTAGCCCTGGCAGCGGATTAAGACACTGCGCCCGGCTATGCGGTGTCCTGTCTCCATGGCAACTCCCCATCCCCTGCATTGGAGTTTGCATTATTCATCCGCAGTCCCTGCGCTGCAGCAGCAACCGCCCTCAATCTTGCATCAAGCACTTTGGAGCCCTCTCCCTACCTATATTCTGCAGATAGGTTTGGGCGGGGGGGGGAGGGGGGAGAGAGAAGGAATCACTTATGCAGGTGACCGGGACGGGTAGGGTGGGTTTGTTTAATAAGAGGTAGGGGCACTTGAAGCAGGCCTTTGCTCCCAACCCAGAATGATGGAGCAGAGATCTGCTCTTAGAGGAGGGGCATAGGTGGCGATTTGACTTAGGGGGGCAGTGGGAGGGGGCACTTTTGAGAATGGGAGAAGGGAGCAAGTGAAAACCGGTGTGCGTGTGTCTTGTTAACTCTCGATTTTAACGTCACTTCCAGCCGTAGCAGAGAAAGCTGCCTGCTGCCTGAAGTATAAATATATATCGGGAGAAGTTGCAGCAGCTGGTATTTTCTCTTTTTGTGTTGCTCCTAAAAGACATAGCAGCTCCATTTGGAAATCTGGGGCATATCAGGTTTTGCACCAAAAGGGATGGATAGAGGGAGAGGTTGATGGTGCAGAGAATTGGGGAGGGTTTTTTTTCGGGGGGGGGGTGTTTGTGGTCAAATGACATTCTGTGTGTGGGGTGAGTGGCCTTTACAAAAAGGTGGAAGAACTGTCAGAGTGGGCAGGTGTGTATATTTGTGTAGCTGGGTTATCTTTGGCTATGCAGATGATTTAAAAAAAAATGTATTAATTTATCCCACTTTTCCCTCGAAGGAGCTCAAGATGGCCCAGGTGCTTCTTTTCCCTCCCTGTTCCATCCTCACAACAACCCTGTGAGGTAGGCTGGGCTGAGAGACAGTGACTCGCTAAAGCTCACCCAGGGAGCTTCATGGCTGAATAGGGCTTTGAATCCCAATTTCCCAGATCCTAGTCCAACACTCTAACCATTGCACCACACCGTCTTCCCAAGGATTTTCTCAAGTTGAGGGGTGTTTGGCTCATGTATGGGTTACAAGAAGCTGGAGAATATAGGAGATCTGAATTTATCTGCCTTTCCTGAAAATATGGCTGAAATTATATCAAGCGGCCAAGACACCGTTGGTGGTGAGGAGAATGAACACCGTCTCAATGTGATGTGTCTAGACCTCTGTCTCTGTCTAGACCTCTGACCTCTTTCACTGAAGCCTAGATGGATGGCTGTGTGTGATTAGTTACTGGTGAGGGAAAGGCACTCTGTATACGCCCACAGTCACTCTTGATGGTGTTCCTTGTTCTATGGCCCTGGCATTCTGAAAATGGCCTCTGTGGCCAATCGCTGGGGCAGCTTAGATTTGCCCTCTATGTGGAATGTGATCCACCCCCCCCATAAGTCAGAAACGTGGCAATATTTCAAGTTGCAAGGAGCTGTCAACGATGTTCCTCACAGGCAGAGAGGTCTCCCCCATCACCTGCTGGTAAATCCTTTTAACTGGCAATACCAGGGATTGAACCTGTGGCCTTCTGCATTCAATGCAGGTGCCCTGCCACCGAGTTAAAAGGATCCACCATTGCCTGTAAGCACCCCAGACTCCCTGATGAGTCAGTGTCACTCTGTCCTGTCTTGACAGTACTGTTTGAATCATTATCAGGGCACGTCTACACTGCAAAATTAAAACCAATTTGAAACTGGTTTTACTCTCCAAGTCTCTTCTGAAGGATCATGGGAACTGGCATTTTTGGAAGGTACTGGGAAGTTTGCGTTAAGAGAGACCAGACCCTTCGCCAGAACAAGAGTTCACAGAGTTCCTTAGTCGGGAACTTCAGCCACTAAAGAGGTTTAGAAACTGGTTTGAGTGTATAGGCTCTGCATACCCAGAACACCAAAGGGCAGGAACCTATAAGGGCCTTCATGATCCACTGAAAGTGTGATTAGATTAGATGGCAGGTTGCAGTACTGTTCGACTCCCATCTTTTCCTTCTTCACGGGACCACTTGCACAACAAGCAAAACGCTTTCTGTACCACTCAAGAAAAAGGTACTCTTTTGCAAGATTTATTTCCCTCCAATTGCACACCTTTTGGGGGAATGCACAAGACCAGAACCACATTTCCAGATCAGAGGCAGCATCCAGAATTGCATTGTTAAAAGATGCTACCCAATGTGGTCCAAGACCATTGTTTGGAGAACTAGGGCCTGCCCTTCCATTAGATGCCATGATATAGTCTGAAGGAACGTGGGACCACCGTCTTACTGAAGCTAGACAGGTCCAAGTCTGATCCATTTCTGGAAGGGTGATGCCTTGGGTTCAATGACGGAAGAAACACAATACATCATTATAAGGAAATAAACACAAATAAATAAAATTAGGAAGATTAAGGCAGTTGCCTCAAATTGTAGGCAATACTAAAGGATGTCAAACCGCCAGCTATTCACATTTTTTTTTACCATGGGGTGGGGACACCATTTGAATTTTCCAATCAGGTATCAAAACATCTTAGGATCAGAAGCAAAACACTCCCAACCAGAGTTGCTATATATACATGCAGAGGCAGGCACTTAATGGTCAATTTTTAGAAAAAATGTGTTCTTCATTCTACAATGGCAGAAATCCCATCCTGGCCTGGAAGCAAGTGATAGGTGTCAATTCATACCTGTTATCTTTAAAAGGTTGAAAGCAGCTCCAGTCGCTGTACCTCTCAACCCACTGCCCATTGGTCCCACTACCTCCCCTCCTTTCCCACTTACTGCATCAAGGACAACTTACAGCTTTGCTGAATAACAGGTAGGGTAGAAGAGCTTAGTGAGTGGAGGACCATGGTCAAAAACCCAGCTGTTATAGCATCACTCATTGCTTTAGATCTTATGAAGTTAGAAGAACGATACCTGGCAATCCTATTTGAGCCCACTCATGCTACGCTCGAATCCTGTCTTGAGCTACACAAGGCAGTAAAGCAGGTTAGTTGTTAACACCACTAGGAAGCAATTTGCTCCAACAGCACCAAGGAGAGCTCCCAGTGACAAGGTGCGGAAGGGGCCCTTTGAGCTTCTTTCTCCAGTCCACTCCTTTTGAAGAACAGGGGTGGGACACCTCTGGCCAAAGGAGCAAATGCACTCCTCCAAGCCTCTTTCTCTGGTCCTTGGGACTCTCCCCATGCCACACCCTCTCTCCAGGACACACCCCTCACCAGCCCTACTTTGCAGCTTCCTTGGATGCTTTTGCCTGTCTGGAATTTGTCCTTAAACTCTGATCCTGCCTCTTTCTTGCCTGGATGAAAGAGAAGAGTGTGTGCATGTGCGTATAGGAGGTAGTCTGCTATACCAAGGTAACATGTACATTCATGGCTCCACCCACGTTTGCCTCTGGCCCCTCCTACCACCGTCCCAGAAGGCAATGAGACCTTTGGCCTGAAAAATGTTCCCAAGCCCTGAACTAGGGTGAGGTAGTGTGGGAGTCAGTTTGTTCCTCAAGCTCAGGGCAAATTGCTCTTGAGAATCCTAGTTCTGGTTCTACGACACCTGATTTAGATGTAGCGATGACCACCAAGCTTGATGGTTTTCAAAGAGGGTTAGACAAATTCATGGATGGTGAGGCCATCACTATCTACTAGACATTCTGGCTATGTTTTGCCTTTACTGCTGGAGGCAGCATGCTGGGAATCACAAGTGGGGAGGGGGCTACCTTTAAAGCCCTATACGGCCTAGGACCATTGTACCTACGGGACCGCCTCTCCTGGTGTGCCCCACAGAGGAACCTACAGTCTGCAAATAAAAACATCCTGAAGGTCCCAGGCCTCAGAGAGGTTAGGCTGGCCTCAACTAGAGCCAGGACTTTCTCGGCTGCGGCTCCAATCTGGTGAAACGCTCTGTCACAAGAGACTAGGGCCCTGTGGGACCTGACATCTTTCTGCAGGGCCTGCAAGACAGAGCTGTTCCACCAGGCCTTTGGTCAGGGCACAGCCTGACTCCCTCCTTTGGCAATCTTCACAGATCTTTAGCTTAATGGTTGCCATCAATTTGATTTTAATTAATTTTTATAATGAAATGTTTTTAGAATGTTGCACTACTTTATTGTTGTTAGCCGCCCTGAGCCCGGCTTCGGCTGGGGAGGGCGGGATATAAATAAAATTTATTATTATTATTATTATTATTATTACTACTACTACTACTACTACTACATTCATATCCTGCTTGGGGGCTTCCACAGGCATCTGGTTGGCCACTGTGAGAACAGGATGTTGGACTAAATGGGCCTTTGGCCTGACCCAGCAGGTCTCTTCTTATGTGGGCTCCTGCCTGGTAGCTTTGGGTTTCAGCACCTTCTTAAGCACCAGCCAGGAACCTGGTGCAGCTCCTTGGGCAGTGATGCTGTAGCCTCCAACTCAGTGTCCTGGTCACTGCTAGACTCACTTCATGGCACATCCTGTGTCAAACGGTTTGAAGGGAACCAGTGACTTCAGATTCACCAGATTGTGTTCCCTAAACTGAGAAATGTAGAAGGCTTAGAGGATGCTTAGAAGAAGATAGGCAATAACTTTTAGCATCTCTCTTAAATAAGAACAGGACAGCAACAGGAAATGCATGGCAATACCCAGGCACAACTAAGCCCAGTGCCACCTAGTGACTAATGAGTATAATGACACTATCCACATAGTGGATGCAGGAATGAACTACACAACATTTATTTAAGCCATTGTTTTTAGTGAACCCTATTGGGTACGACATTACCCAAGACAATGATTTACCAGACAATGAAATGAAATGCACAATAGGCCTGGTTGCTCACTGTACTCTCACACTCTGTTTTCTCCCCAGATAACAGCAGCCACATGGACCCCTTCACCTATGGTGAGTAATGTTGTAAAATGCAGCACAGTCGCTGGGTGTGAGGGTTGTGTCATACCCAAAGTAGACCCACTGAAATTACTGAGCATGGCTAACTTGGCTCCACTATTCTCAATGGGATCTGCTCTGAGAAGAATTTACCTGGAGATCCTTTTGCCCCACACGAGAAGGAAGAGATATTGTAGGGAGTTGGCTGCCCCTCGGGAATCCCTTCCAACTCTAGGTGGGGATGTTAAGATGTTGGGGTGCAAGGGTGGCGGTGCCTGGGTTTTACAGGGAGAGGTGGGGCATGTCTTTGGGTGGCAGATACGGCATCTAAGGCATCTTGGTTTGGGTGCTTGGGTGACCATGAACATCGTACATTCTGACCAGCTCCATTACCCTTCCAGACTATGATACGCTGCGCACAGTGGGACTGGTCTTGGCCATCGTCATGTTTGTGCTGGGAATCTTGATAGCACTGAGTGAGTCACTTCTTTTTTTATTGATGTATGCTTCCTTTATGCCTCTCTTGGCTCCTACACTGGCCTCCCTGTCTGGTTCCCTCAGCTCTCAGTTCTGATATTTTACTTGGGTCCAATATCTGCCCTATTCTGAAGACAAACTACCCAAATGCAGATACCTGTATCAGCCAACGGAATCAGCAGCTACTGAAGAATCTAGCCTTCCTTCCTGTCTACAAGGTTCTAGAAGTAACATCTCAGGAAACTTTTGATGCCAGAGGTGCCAGGGGATTAGGAGCCCACAATAGCTCTCTGCTCATCCCCTCCAGTGACTAGTAGAAGCAACATATATGAGATGCCACAGTGATGCAGTGGCTAGCATGTTGAACTTTGACCAACATCCATATCCCTGTTCAGCCACAAAGCTCATTGGTTGATTTTGGACCAGTCATGGGAAGGTATTTTATATCAAGTCAAGACTCCTATGCATTCCAGTCCAGGGTTGTTTCCCTTGGTTGGAAGCAGCTCTCCAGAAACTCATGGAGATGTCTTTCCCATCTCCTATTACTTGATCTTTTAAAGTAGATATGCTGGAGATTGAATGTTGGGACCTTCAGTCATCAAGGCATGAGCTGTTCCACTGAACCAATGGTGTTGGTCCTTGTCATGGCCCTTCCCTCAGCTTAACATAACTCACAGGGTTGTTGTTGTTGTTGTTGTTGTTGTTGTTGTGTGGTGAATCCCCAGCAATACTCTAAGCTTCATGGAAGAAGGGTGGGGCACACATGATAGGTAGATAAAAGAATGTAACATAAGCAAATTTAGTCATATTCTGCATCGTGCTTATACATAGCAACATAAGAAGAGCTTTGCTGGGTCAGACCAAAGGTCCAACATCCTGTTCTCACAATGGCCAACCATTTGCCTATGAGAAGCCTGCTTTCGGGACACGAAAACAAAGAATTCTGCTTATTATTTTCATCCCAGAGCATAGATAACCTTATCCATTGTGAGATACAGAAATGCAAGATACAGCTGCATGTGATGGGCCTGGAGCAGTGACTTCTCAACTTCCAGGGCAAATAGCAGCTTCAGGGGGGTTTCATTGGAAGGGAAAGGGTTAACCAAGGGATCTCCCTAGGTATATGTGGAAGGTGCATGTATACATTTGTCACTGAGGCCATCCAGAGGAGCTCTGTTAGTTACAGACCCCTGACTGGCCTTAGCTAGATGACAGTCATTTAGTTTCTCTTCTAGCAGTGATTGAGGAAGACCGTTTTAGGCTGACAGGCCTTTGCAGCCATTAAAAACATTATTGATTAGCCAATCACCTTAATGATTATTTTGTACTGTATTTAAATAGCGTTTTAAGTTTTATTGTCAAGCAATAACCTTATATTTTATGACACAGCTGTAATCTTTTCATAAACAAACAAAATATGAAAAGGAAAATACTTTTTAATAGCAGCCTGTTAAGGACCTGTCTGACCTTTCAGGACTGTGCTGAATATTGAGGTGGCAGTTGAAAGAGTGGAGGAAGGAAGGAAACTGGGATAATGAGAGGAGAAGAGTTAATTGCCTTGCTAAAGCCCCTATTAGGTTTATCTAGACAAGGTGATAGATGGTGGGAGGGGTTGATGCAAACTGTAAAGTTAACAAGCTAGTTTGCCTACATTGTGCACAGATCTTTCAGGCATGAAAAAGGGTGCCCTTCCCCTTTCTCATTATCAAGACACTCACCCACCTTTCACTATAGAGCTACAAAATGCCCAAGTTCAGCTCATCTGAATGCTCCAGTCCTAAATCAGAACCACATTTCACTACAAAGTACAGCTGAGGCCCGTGGGTCTACCGTGTGTTTTGAGAAGGGGGGGTCCTTTCCTCCACTCTAGACCATGCTATACTCATGCTGAGAGCTCTGAACAGCACTACATGGCTCCTCTTCCAGCTGGGAAGCAGCCTTGAATAATAGGGTGATGTTACGCTGCAATGTTTTGTTACAGCCCCCAGTAGCATTTTTATTTATTTATGAATGACAATTCTTCCCACCAGATAGCAAGACAGGATCGTTGTTGCAGCCTCCCAGCCCTTCCCTTCCATTAATACTTTGCTCTCTCTTTTTCCCTCCTGCTGCAGGTAAAAAGTTCAAGTGCAAAAAATCTGACCCCAGGTAGGTGCTTCCTGACCACCTTCTCTCGTCTTCATCCCTGACCTCCCTCCTCCTCAAACGTTGTGCCCTTCATCCCTATTCACTTTTCCCTTTTCTGTGTCTTCATCTCTGCAGCCTGTCGGACCCCAGGGCATCGGGCAAGACTCCTAGTAAGTGTGACGTGGCCTTGGGAGGGAGGGAGGGAGGGAGGGAGGCACAGGGCAAGTTTGTGTGTGTAGGGCCTGTTTGTGTGTGTAGCCTTGTGCAAACCTAGCAGGGAACACAACCTCTCTCTCTATTTTCAATCTACTTAAAAGCAGACCAGGGGTCAGTGGTGGCTGGTGCATTGGGACTGGTAGGATAGGCAGTACGGAGGCCAACAGTAGGGGGCGCCAGAGACACCAATAGGTGAAGCCAGAGCCAATGACAAGCGAAGCCAACTAATTCTCATTTTATCCTCATCCTCTTCTCTGTTGTGTTCTACAAATGCTACACTGAGACCATATCTTCCAGCACGGCATGGCCTGAATCTGGGACACCATCTTCTGGGTCTCAAGCGAGTCACGTGACCTGCGTGAGATTGCAGCCCCCTCCCAAAGCACTGTTTTCAGGCACAGCACCCAAAAACATGAGTTTTGGGGTGCCTTGAAATGCAAATTCTGTGCGCCATGCCCCAAAATGGTGCAGCCTGAAATAGTGCGAGATCATGATGGCCACTTGGGCCACTGTCCTCTCGTAAGAAAAAAAGGGATGTCCTGTTTTTTTCCAGGGCAGTTGACGGGTATGTGAGACTAAGGAGGAGGAAGCTGACAGCCAGAGCCCTTCCCTGCCCCCCGGACTGGGTGCTAAGGCAGGCAGAAGGGGGCTGTCTGAGGTGCAGACTGAGGTTGGCAGGGCAGTGCCTCATATGTATGCCCTAACAGACCAGCCTCCACTGCCAGGGGTCCACCTGAACCGCCATATTTTACCCATAAGAGAGGTCACGTTTATTAGACATTCATTCTGATTTCTTCCCAGAGAGGTTAGACAACGTTGCTTCAAAAGCAGCCATTACCTCAGTTTCCAGCGCATCCCTTTCCTTACTGCAAAAATAAATTAATAAAAATAAATATTTTGGGGGGAGGGGGAATGGGCCGAATCCACTTCAATGGTGCAAGCTGGATTTGCCAGGATGCGGTCAGACCCCTGTAAGAACAGCTACCGCCTCAAAGTGGCCAGGGTGTTTCGCCAAGGCGAAAACAGCCCCCCCCCCCGCCGCTGATCTGTGTTTGCGCACATGCGAAGGTGCCTGCTTCTCTGCCCCCTTCACCTTCGCCTTACGGAGGCATTGAGGAAATTGTGAGAGGGAGGGCGGCTTGAAGCTCCCACACCTGAGGTAACCTCCCGCCCACCTTCCGTTACCATGGAGTTTGCTGACGTCGGAGGGGATGCTGAGGACTCTATGGTGACGCCATGGCAACGGAGAGCACGATTCCTGCAGCAGCTGGGAAGCCTACAGGGAGACATTGTTTGCCAGGGCTCCCGAATGCTAGGATTCGTCTCTCTCCACCTTGCCACGGCCACTGCCACTCTTCTCTCAAACTCTCCCTCTCTCCTTCTGCTCCTTCTCTCTTCCAGCTCCAGCCGGTGGTGTGTAGGTGCCCTCGCAAATCTCTGCTGCTCCCGACTGGCTGGGGGATGAACTGCGCCCAGGAACATTTCTCCTGAGACCTTGGCACCTTGGCACCGACTGCCCGGGAGGGGGAGGGGCTCTCCGTTCTATCCTCGACAAGGGAGGGGCAATTTTATAACCAGTTAGCTCTTGCGCTTCCATTGCATGACGGGGGCGGGCACCTGGGTGGGGTTGGGGGCGCTACACAGGCCATGAGGTAGCAAAGTCCCTCTGCCTGTCTATTTCAGCTGGCACCCACCCCGCTGGGGGCTGGTTCCCATAACCCCCAAAACAGGGTCCCTTTAAACTGCAATAACGCTGCCTGCTGCCACCCTCTGGGTAACACCCACCCCATGCCACACCACGCCCCCCCCCCCCAGCGATGCCCCCTTGCTTCTGGGCATATTAACCACCCCATAGCTGCTGCTGCTTTGCTTTCTGTGCCTCCCGCTACGCTGTAAGGAAAAAAAGAAGAAGTCCAGTGACCATGATAGCCACAAGGGGGACGGGGATTCTACCCAAGAGCCAATCTGCCCCAGTGCTAGAAACCAGGACGCTTTTTTGGGGTGGGGTGGTGGTGTTGGGCCACCTGTGAAGCCAAGGATAGGGCCAGCCGAAGGAATAAAAAGGAGCGAGGGAGGGCTTGCTTTTGTGGCATACACTCCACTTCCCCCAGGGGGCGCTGCTCACAGCTTCTCCTTGCTGTACCATCCACATCTCCGTGTCTCTCATCCAAGCATGGAGCAAACTTTGACCAATCAATAAACGTGGGTTGTTTTTTTCTAACTAGACTCGCTTGCTTTGTTTTGTTCGTTGTTACCCTAATGGGCTCAAAAGTTCCATCTCACCACTGGGTAGCTCAGTGGGGTAGAGCATGGTGCCGATAACACCAAGGTTGCAGGTTCGATTCCCCGTGTGGGACAAATGCATATTCCTGCATTGCAGGGGGGTTAGACTTAGATGATCCTCAGGGTCCTTCCCAACTCTACAAGTCTATGATTCCAAGCTGTCTTGGGATCTGCAATTCTGAGCTTGCTGCATAAGTGGCAGGATTTGGATTCTAAAAGAGCTGAGTTCTACCCCCTCTTTTTTTTTACTGATCTTCCACTCCTGCGAGAAGTGAGGTTACAGGGAACCAGGCAGTGGGCCTTCTCGGTAGTGGCGCCCGCCCTGTGGAATGCCCTCGCACCAAATGTCAAGGAAATAAACAACTACCTGACTTTTAGAAGACATCTGAAGGCAGCCCTGTTTAGGGAGTTTTTAAGGTCTGGTGTTTTATTCTGTTTTTAATCTCTGTTGGGAGCCACCCAGAGTGGCTGGGGAAACCCAGCCAGATGTGCGGGGCATTAATAATAATAATAATAATAATAATAATTCACTAGAACTAAGGAATAAGCTACACACCAGGTTGTAGGCAGCTAAGTTCTATGTGGAGTGCACTCATAGAAATTAATGGACGTAAATTTCTCATGTTAATTAATCCCAGTGGGCCTAATGTTGGAAACAATCCTTTGTATTAAATGTGGAGTTGCACTTACGATGCCTTTTAAAATGGCGGCTTTGGGAGGGGCTGATTAGGGTCAGGCAGAAAAGGTAAAGGACCCCTGGATGGTTAAGTCCAGTCAAAGGTTGCGGTGCTCATCTACTTTCAGGTGACGGAGCCAGCATTTGTCCACAGACAGTTTTCTGGGTCATGTGGCCAGCATGACTAAACCACTTCTGGTGCAATGGAACACCGTGACAAGTGCCAGAGCTCACGGAAACGCCGTTTACCTTCCCGCCGCAGTGGTACCTATTTATTTACTTGCACTGGTATGCCTTTAAACTGCTAGGTTGGCAGAAGCTAGGACAGAGCAACAGGAGCTCTACCCATTGCATGGATTCGAACCACAGATCTTCTGATCGGAATCAAGGCCATAGGAAGGGATGTGTTAATCTGATGAAAAATTGCCCCCCACTTCTCAAAGCTGCTACTTGCCATGTGTGGAGGGGAAGCTACAATTGGCCCCAAATGTGTCTTCCTTCCTGATACAGTGGTGCCTCGCAAGACGAAATTAATCCGTTCCGCGAGTCTCTTCATCTTGCGGTTTTTTCGTCTTGCGAAGCACGGCTATTAGCGGCTTAGCGGCTATTAGCGGCTTAGCGGCTATTAGCGGCTTAGCGGCTTTAAGAAAAAGGAAACAAACTCGCAAGACGTTTCGTCTTGCGAAGCAAGCACATAGGGAAATTCGTCTTGCGGAACGATTCAAAAAACGGAAAACTCTTTCGTCTAGCGAGTTTTTCGTTTTGCGGGGCACCACTGTACAGGTAAGAGCTGGTGGAGAAGGCAGATCTCAGCCCGAGAATGGAGAATGTTAAATAAAGTTACGGTGTGCCATGACAGCTGCTATTTTTGAAAAAACACAAAAACAAATAAAAAACACGGCCCAGATGTGTTAAATGCAATAATGCGTTTAATTGCAACGTTTAGTCAGGCCCTTCGGAGAAGAAAAGGCCTTGATCTTCTTATTGAGATGCCCTCTTTTTGTTTTTATTTTTCCGCTGGCTTTTAACATTGGCTTGGTCAGCAGAAACGAGCAGCTGAATGTGCTCCTCTCCATGGTGTGAAGTGTTTCACCTGCCAACTGGCTGCATCTTAGGCTGCAGAAGAACGGCACAGGCAGCTTTGTTTTGTGGCCAGTTGGCAACCCTGGACCATCTAATCAGCGTTATTGTGGCGATGGGGGAGGTGGAAAAAACCCACCAGCCATTCTTGGAACATCCTGGCATCCTTAACTAAGGAAGGGATGAATGAGCAGCTGCCTGGGCCGCGGCCTGGTAAATTGCCATGATCAGAAGAAAGAGGAACAGAACACATACAGAAAAAGGCAAATTGAGAGGGTGCGTGTGGCTGCCGCGCTGCCAACAAGGGCCAATCCACACTTCCGCTTGTCCTGTGCCTAGAAGACAAGGATCTGAGCAGTTTCCTGCTTGTCCTGTACTTCCTAGGCACGGGTCTGTATGCAATTTGCCTAAAATAGAATAATAGAATTGTAGAGCCGGAAGGGACCCTTAGGGTCATCTAGTCCACCCCCTGCAATGCAGGAATATACAGGGAGCGAACCTGAAAGCTTGGCATTATCAGCACCACGCTCAGCACCAACTGAGCAGTTTTGCCTCTGCCCCACCGCTTTCCCACTGAAAACCTGCTCTTTAGTGCTAAATCAGAACAAACAGCAATCTGTGGGAAAACCCAAGTGACATTTACTCCAGTTCAGCAGAAAAGAGCAGGTTTACCCAGAGGGGAGGGGAGTAGTGGGGCAAACAGAAATGTGGATGAGCCCTCAGTCTGTAAAAAACCTGGATCCAGGGGCTGAGCCATGCCTCTAAATATATCCAGCGGTGTGGGGCCTCCTCCCCTGAGATTGCAAGAAAAATGTGCTGCTCTCTTTAGCGACCAGGGTCTCACTTGCTTCCCTTTAGGTACCAATTCCCAGCTATACTTGGGACTTTATATAATGGGAAGTAATTCACAAATCCAATAAAGCTAATGCTCCATATTCTGAATGATCTCACCTGCTGAGCCAGGCGGAGAAACCCACATTGTGAATGCAGCCATGGCTGCCAAGATAACGCGTAATTCCGGTGCTTTGGGGGAGTAGAAATATGAGATGCTGGTACACATATCTTGATAAAAGCGCCATGGGTGCCCACACACAAGAGTTGCCATGGGTAGCAAGAAAAGAAACGATGGTCCTCTGTACCAGTGAGGATCATCACATGCAAAAAAGCACCACATAATTCTACCCTAATGCCATCACAGGTGTCCAAGTTTGCAAGCTCGCTCTCATTGTGCAAAGGGGGCTTTCCCAGACCCCTCCAAATGCCACTGCCTCTCACCCTAGCAACCCCATCCTCCCCATCAGCCTATAGTGAACCAGCAGGTCATTACCTAGCTAATCAGATTTGGCTGCAGGATGACCCTGAGGCCAAACAGAATTTGCCTCCTTTTTGAATTAGCTTTATTAGACCTGAGTAATCTGGTTGGCTAGGCTCCCTTTCCCCACACTGGTGCCCTCCAGCTGTTCTGGACCACAACTCCCATCAGCCTCAGCTATGGGGCAGTGGGGCCCCCCTCTGGTTTGGGGGACCATGGGCAATGTCATTTGGATCCCCTTTAAAGGTACGAAAATAAGTCAAGCATAACATTTCACTAATTTCTATACAGGAAGTTAAAATGAAAGTAAGGCTGATTGTATCACAATACGTTCCATCAGGGTCAATTTTTTATTACAACCGGGGTGGAGAATATCACTTAATGCACTCTAAATACATGAATGCAGGTCACGAGAAGAAGCAAGCTGTGACCTTCACATGTGGTACTCGTACGTAAACAGAAACAGCCCCCCCCCCAAACCAAACCTCTTTAAAAATCATATTAGTAGGAGGAGCATATGGTGAGTTGGTGATAACCAGTTCACTGATAAAATTGCCATAATGATTAATCCTATACGAGTACAGTGGTACCTCAGGTTGCATACGCTTCAGGTTACATACGCTTCAGGTTACAGATGCTTCAGGTTATAGACTCTGCTAACCGAGAAATAGTACCTCGGGTTAAGAACTTTGCTTCAGGATGAGAACAGAAATCGTGCTCCGGTGGCATGGCGGCAGTGGGAGGCCCCATTAGCTAAAGTGGTGCTTCAGGTTAAGAACAGTTTCAGGTTAAGAACGGACCTCCGGAACGAATTAAGTACTTAACCCGAGGTACCACTGTAAATTCTCTAGTTCCCTATTTAATGAAATGAACTTTTTTGAGCCTTCTTGGTAGCAAAGCCCTCAGTCAAATCACTATGACCCAAACTTTCCCCAATTTTATGTTCAGCTGAAACCAATACTAATCCTACTAAACATTCTCACAACGTTTTGGAGGGCTGTTAGAGGCAGTCCTTTGCTTGAAGATCTCCTCCATTTGAGGCCTGCCGAGCCCAAGACTAGTTTAAAAATAAGGAACCACCCAAAGGGGAGCAGAAGGGTCTTTGAAGTTTCCCATCCTGGTCAACAGACCAAAGGGGCAGGTGCAAACGTCCCCTGGTGCCCCCCCCCCCCGCTATGGCGAGATGCACTCTGCTTCTCCTGAAAGCACAGTCATTGTTTCTTAAATTTAAATATTTGCATGTAAATTACCACGTGCAGATATTATGCAAATGGGCACTCTCTTTTGTCCTTGCGGCTGGTGATTCGAATCCTCATAATTGGCTACCCTAAGTACACAATGTCCCCTTTTTGGCTCAGCTGAGTTTTGGAAGAAGGAAAACAGGCAGGACTCTCTGTGTCCTTTCTGGGAAGAAGTTCCGGGCTAAAGGAGAAGCAAGAAAAAACAGGCAGATTCTTGTGGGCGACTTTTGGATTTTTTAAAAAAATGATGCCACACATATGGCGTCGCCAGATGACCTGTTCAGCGAGCATTCATTCATCCAGACAAATTCATTCTGATTTGCTTGCTGGGTTTTTATACATCTTTCTGTTAATCCTGCGCTCAATGCATTTTTAGTGCATTTACCCATTGCTGTGCATTGCTGCACACTGCAGTTCTGTGCTGCTGTTTGGTTATTCTCACACTGGCTATGCCTGTTCTTTTTGTTTTCCTTGCACCATATTTTCATTTCATTTTTTTGAAACCAGTCCTGGGACCATTCAGCAAGGGGGGGTGGCAGAGGCAAGAGTGGGCGGAGCAACAGATTAAAATGTCGCCTTTGTACAGTAGGCAACTTTCTGTACGCAAACACACAACTCTCTGCCTTCTATCCAGGCAAGCAAGAAGCATGGGGAGAGCTCAAGGGCACATTCCAGCCAGGTAAAAACACTCAAGGAGGGGCCAAAGCAGGGCCAGTGAGGGGTATGGCTTGGGGAGCATCCTGAGGGCCAGGTAGTGGGGCCTGGA